TTAACAGGAAGAAACCTCCAGCAGAACCAGGCTCAGCGTGAGCGGCCATCTGCCGAGGCCGACTGGGGTTCAAGGAGACAGAAGCAGAGATACAAAAAGCAGCTGTAAAAGGCGGCCCCGTCCAGGAAACACACAGCCAGGCAGACGAGCTCCAAGGCAGCTCCCATGCCAGAGGACGAAGAGAGCACATCCACTCAGTCACGGTCAGAGAAACAGGACCACACTGGAAAACAGGCCGATCTCCAACATCTATTAACAAGGGTGTTGATAGAAGCAGCACAGCTGATGTTTTTTTCCAGGATGACGTCACAGCCAAACAGGAACAGACGAGGCAAAGCTACTCTGAGGAAAAGCAGAGAGAGCAGAAGGTTAGAGATTGAACTAACAGATTCTGCAGAATAGGAGAACAGAGAGAGAATGAAGCAGAATGATGAAATGGGGGTCCCTATGTCCTCCAAAAGTCTAAGCCTATAGCAGCATAACTATAGAGATAGCTCAGGATAACCTGAGCCACCCTAACTATAAGCTTTATCAAAAATGAAAGTTTTAAGCCTAGCCTTAAAAGTAGACAGGGTGTCTGCCTCACGGACTAAAACTGGTAGTTGGTTCCACAGGAGAGGAGCCTGATAACTAAAAGATCTGCCTCCCATTCTACTTTTAGAAATTCTAGGAACCACTAGTAAACCTGCAGATTGAGAGCGAAGTGCTCTGTTAGGAACATAAGGAACAATCAGATCTCTGATATAAGATGGAGCTTGGCCATTTAAGGCTTTATATGTGAGAAGGAGGATTTTAAATTCTATTCTTGATTTAACAGGAAGCCAATGAAGAGAAGCCAGGATAGGAGAGATATGATCTCTCTTTTTCATTTTCATTAGAACTCTGGCTGCAGCATTTTGGATCAGCTGAAGGCTTTTAACTACAGTTTGTGGACTTCCTGATAGTAAAGAATTACAATAGTCCAGCCTTGAAGTAACAAATGCATGGACTAGTTTCTCAGCATCACCCCTGGACAGGATATTTCTAATTTTTGCAATGTTCCTCAGATGAAAGAAGGAAATTCTAGAAACCTCTTTGATATGGGATTTAAATGACAGGTCCTGATCAAAAATAACACCAAGATTTTTTACTTTATTATCTGAAATCAGTTTAATCCCATCCAAATGAAGTGACTGGCTAATCAGTTTCTTTTTCAGAGACTCTGGTCCAAAGACTATAACTTCTGTTTTGTCTGCATTCAGAAGCAGAAAGTTAAGAGTCATCCAGGTTTTTATGTCTTCAAGACATGCCTGTAATCTATGTAATGGGTTAGCTTCATCTGGATTTATAGACAGATATAGCTGGGTATCATCAGCATAACAGTGGAAATTAATCCCATGCTGTCTAATAATTCTACCAATTGGGAGCATGTATAAAGTAAAGAGAATTCGTCCTAGCACTGATCCCTGTGGTACTCCACAGGTAACCAATTTACTCATTACATTCATTACATTACATAAAGCTTGACCTCTGCAAATAGGACTGTATTGTATCAGTATTTATAGGAGAAGCCCAAGTTCGGTATTAAATCATTCATTTATTCATTCTACTTTATGTATTTTCTTATTTTAAGCCATCTTAAAATCTGTCCACTATCTTAATTAATAATTCAACTCTGCTGTTTCTCACTCCTCTGAAACACCTACAGGAAGTGCTTTGTGTCAAAGCAACGGGTTTCTTTTGACACAATTTTTTATCCACAATTTCTCCATAAGCTGTAAACTGTATATAGGTCAGGGGGACAAGGGGCCGTGCCCCGATGCACTGATGGGTAAAACTTCATAGTGATAGTACTGCCTGTCTAAATTCTTTGGTCTTCATAAAAAAACAGAGAAAAAGTCTGGTTGCCTCCCATTTAAGACTGTTTTGTGGTAGGTGATGGTACTGTGTACCTTTACATCAATCCCACTTAAACTTAAAATTACAAATGTAAGTATTTTGAACTGTTTCCATCCATATCCTTCTTGCTGCTTTGTCACCAACCATCTTCGTCTTCCAGTACTGGATGCTTGAGATCACTGGAACTGTTTCAATGGAAGCAGAAACAATTTGTCTATAACCCTTATCCTTGTTGACATATGCTGTATTTATCCAACAACATTTGAAACAAATTTTTAATTGAGTTTTGGATATGCGCCTATACCCCCCGCAGCAGCAGCCTCTCCCTGAGGTGTGCTGTATCTTTCAGCGCATGTTTTGATCTGGAGCCACACAGCTGGCTACATTTCAGTGCCCCTCCTTTCCTTCACCTCCCATCACTTGTCTTTGTGTTCAAGCACTTTTAATTAATTCACATGCAGAGTGCTGCAATCTCATGCAGCAGATGTTCAAAAGCCAGGAAAGTTTTAATTTAATGTGAGACATTTTCTGATTATGGCATATGTGGGACAGACGTTCTAATTACAAACCCCTTTGATGGGATTTTCCTTACAAATATACTGAGAATAGTAATCCCGCTTTATTCATTTCCAATAAACCTCATAAAGCTTTTGTTAAGGTTCTCGATTATTAGCTTGTAGATGAGGTTGAAACAGTTTGGGATAATAACTGTAAAGATAATGTAGTTCTGGTTATTTGAGGGAAACTTCAGGGAGTTGATTTCCCTTTCATTGGATTATGTCTTTGTTTCAAACAAAAAAATATGGCAGATGTAATCTATTTTCTGAGCTAAAGAAGCATTTAGCTTCTTATATTTTTTTCTGCTGGTTTATATGAGGATTTTTCAATGGAAAACAGCTAAATTAATTGTACTTTGCACAAATTTCATCTTTATTTATGTCAGCCAAGTTTTGGCAAAAGCTGTTAAGATCAGGCCACTCTGGGTGTAGTCATGGAAAGCTTACCAAGTTTATTGATAATTGTATTTATGTTTATAAAACAAGCTAGATTCTTATTTGCTTTGCTTTTTTATGTATTTGGAGTGCTTTGTTAAGCACTTTGTCCTGCCTTAATAATTTTATATACTCTATGGATAGATAATTAGACTTTTTTATTGCAGACTTTATTACTTATGTATTTATTCAGGTTTTGTGTCCATAGTAAGGAAACAAAGGCTTAAAATGGAATTAAATAACCAGAAGGAACTTTGGATCATGTTAAAATGGGGAGATGTTTACAGCTAATGTTCAGTAAACTCACTTCTTACCCCTGCTGGTAATTCTTTCATGTACTGTAGAGAAGTTTAGATAAGTTTAAGATGGTGTATAAACATTACATTATATTGTTTACTCCCCATTTTGACACAACTCTTTAATAATTTGGTGTGTAAAATACACCATATTTTATTTATAAACTATGAACTGTGCTTTAAACATAATTAAACATAGTAGAGTTTCAGCAGCTCTCTGTGCGGCTCTTTCTTCCAGGTTCCACTGTCTAGATATATTTAAGCTCAGAGTACAAAGCAGGGTATAAAAACATGCAGAGGTCTGCAGCAGCCAAAGCCATCTCTCTTTCTCTGAACATCATTGTCAGTAAGAGAAAAATGGTTTCAGACAGTAAATAAAAAAAAATCCAGACATTGCATCTCTCACAGGTTACCAAAGTGGAGGTTAATCAGGGACGTATGTGCAGATTTTTTTAAAGTCTTGCTTTTGCAATGCCTTTTTTAAATCCATACTTGCAGGAGTACTTTTTTGTGAATTGTGTACATCCACCATATACGTTTGTTGTAACTCATTTAGAAGTTACACAACATCATGCTGAAATGAAATGCAATACTGAGAAAGAGCTATTGATGCTTGCTCTTTAATGTTTGACGCCTTTGTCATGTCAGCTTATTTATTTTTCCTAAACTCTTGCCTTTAATTAAATAATTTACATGTACTGTTATAGCAACCATTCATGTCTTTGATGTGATTAGTTTTCATAATTATTCCTCAAGGTGTCAAACCTAAAATAATATAAACATGACCTCCACTTTTGTTTGAAAAACAAAAACTCTAAATTCATAGGATTGAAGCTGGCAAGGTTCATCACGTCTCTGAGGTTGAAGAGATGATGCCATCATAAGGATATGGTGCATCTGTTTATCCTCTGACTGCCTTTAAATATCTAAATGGCTGTTCTTTTAAAAAGTAAATTTTAAAAAGCAATTTTTTTTCTCTGTAGTCTGCAGCTTTCATATGAAGCAGGACATGTAACACCTCAGATGTACATCATCATTAACTGAGCATGTGTGTTACAGCATGCCAGGCTTTTTCAAAGACCTCCAAAGCATAATGAATTGCATCAATCCCATTATTCATGCACTATGTTGCGCTCAGATTTTTTTTCTAAGAGTTTATTTTGACCACCAGCCTTGAAATTCCTCCTGCACTAAAACATGGTCCACTCAACCTTACAGTTAGACCCAATCGAGCATATTCAGTGCTCAATGTTTTCCTGAGTCCTCCATCACTCTGCATATGCAGCAGTGTCAGAAATGATTAGTCTAATGACAAACATGACCACATTCTGCTCACTAAGGTTGAGCCAATCAGCTGTACAGTGATAAAGTTGCTATTTGGTCCTCCATGTAACTACAGTTGTGTGTTCTGGATTTTAAATGCTTTTATTGTAGTAGATCTCTTCTGCCCCCTGTTGGACGAGATACCACAATTCGGAGAATTCTATAGAAAAATGCATTTTGGAAAGAAAAACATTCTTGCAATTAATTTACATTACTTAGGGTTTATGTGTAAACTGAACAGGCCTGGTTGTGGAATGAATACATATTTTAATATTAAAATGTGGATGTCAGATCTAGCTTTTGACATGCAAGAGTTTATTTAATTGAAAGCAAGATAATTCCCAAAAAAATGTCTATTCGGCTGTCTTGCTTAAAGAGTTAGATAATGATAAAAAAAATTTTAATACCTAATTGATTTTCTGATAACTTTGATTATATTCATTCTGGAGCTTTAGCTTCACACATGGAAAGCACTTTGGATGTATAAGATTTTGTTAACAAGATTTTAACAAATGGCAAACATCTGAACTCCTACTTAGATCTATGTCTTATTTAACTTTTACTGAACCTTCACAATATCCTACAAAAGTAAATTTTTTGACACTCCCTGTTCTTGTTTTAACAGAGGAGATCCTGCAGACCCACATTGCCCACTGGTGGTCTCCAGACGGACTGCGTTTGGCCTACATGACCATCAATGATACGCTGGTGCCAGAAATGGAGGTTCCATATTTCACTGGTACACCATATCCTGGAAGCCAGGTCTATCGTTACCCAAAGGTCAGACTGGAGCACAAGCCACCCTAACTGTTGTACAGTTCAGGAAGCTGAGGATGGAATTAATTGATTTAGTTTGACTAAACGCATGAAGTGAACGGGAGCAACATGTTGCTTTAGTGAGAATCACCCCAGAGACCAGAATCTCCTGCATGAGTTTCATCAACAGCACATAAGCACAGCTTTTCTTTTGAGCATACTTTTGCCAGTGCAGTACGCGTTTACTCTGCAATGAAAGTTGTAATTTTGAATACCTTTTGTTTAGGAAGTGAAAGTGCTATGCTGTCATCCTCTGCTTCCAATCAGTTACGGCTGTTAACCTAATTCTCTTCGGAGGAGCAGAACAAATAAATGAAGAACAACAACAGGGAACCAGAACATAGTTTGATTCATTTAGTGAGCCACAGAAACAAAGAGCCTCTTGCAGCTCTCAAGCTCCCATTTATCATATGGTAACTCTGGTCCTGGTTCAATACAGCCGAATTAAAAGTGTAGCACCTTCATTTTTAAATCCGCGTCTTGCTATTTTTTTTGCTCTTTTTTATTTTATGAACAGGTGAGAAACAAAAAGATTATTACTTCCAAAGTGACCCTAATATGCCATCATACTGTGGCCACAGCTGCCCTCAAGCAGCCTTTACAGAAACAAGGCTGCCATATATCAGCGCCACCAGGCCCTCTGACCAGAAACAACATTAAGATGTTATACACAGGGTTAACCATTATGAGGAAAGTAGAAAAAGCATTTAATCAGATCTATAAATGCTGATCACAGCACAGGAATGTTTTAGACATTTTCTCCTTAGAAGTTGGACCGAATTCCTTACTTTAGCAGAGAGGCTGAAACTGGCATTGAACATAAGAACCAAACACCTAAATATGCATAATGAAGACATCAACAGCATATCTACATAAAAAGACAAAGATAAAATAGTTATGATAGCAAACTATTATACCCATAATTTCATTTTCAGACTTTCATTCAGCTTTTTTGACTTATGACAAGCCAATCTGTGTGCATTTCGGGCTTACTGCCCATGTCCTCACTAAGACTAAGAAAGTAGAACTCGTCACCCCAGTTCTAAAGTCCTTACACTGGCTCCCTGTATCTCAGAGAATACACTTTAAAATTAATCTGTTAGTCTATAAATCTCTGAATGGCTTAGCACCTAAACACATCACAGACTTGCTATCAGTGTATCAACCCTCCAGACCACTCAGGTCTTCTGGCTCCAGCCTGCTCTGCATACCTAGAACCAGAACTAAACATGGAGAAGCAGCATTTAGTTCCTATGCTCTACTTATCTAGAACAAACTTCCAGAAAAATGTAAAAGGGAGGAAAGCCTGAGTTCCTTTAAATCAAGACTAAAAACACATTTGTTTAGGATTGCCTTCGACTGTTCTAGTTAAAAAGTTCAACTGAAACATCATTAGTTCAACTTTTTTATTTTCTTTATTCCAACTGTTTTTAATGTTGTTTTTTGTTTCTGCATTTTTCTTTCCTACTTGCTTTGAGTCTGTTTTATTTTCCTATATTTTGATCATGTAAAGCGCTTTGCATTGTCTTTGTACTGAATTGTGCTATACAGATAAATTTGCCTTGCCTTGCCTACTCTTAAATCTTTAGCTATATTAAATATTGCTTGGAAAATGCCACAGTTACAATACCCTGAAAAAAGTAATGCAACCGTTTTTGGCATTTACTTAATCATATTTAGTTACTTTAACAATTTTTTTTTTTCATTTTAGCAGGGTAGGACATAAAACGATTGTGTTAAAGTAACTAAATATGCTTAAGTAAATGCCCAAAGCGGTTGCATTATGTTTTCAAAATATCTCAGTGTATAATCTTACCGTGACAAAATATTGCTGTGGGTTTTTGTGTGCATAATTTTACAACGATGCCCCTTATAAATTAATTCAGAATATCAAGCTTTTGTTTGAGCTCGTCTCAGATTGTAAAGCAAATCTCATCTTTGGGATTTTGTTTCCTTTGCAGGCCGGAGAGGAGAACCCTGTGGTCCATCTGTCTGTGGTGGGCCTCCACGGTCTCCTGCACACAGTGGTGATGAGGAAACCTGATGATCCTCGGATAGGGTGAGTGACAGAAGAGCAGCGCATTTATGTTTAGGAGGCGGCAAGTGCCAAAACTAGCCCTGAAGTATTTTGTTAGGTCAGACAGCGGCTATCCAATGTGTGATGTATTCTTTTCCTTTTTTTTCCCCAGGAGGGAATATTATATCACTATGGTGAAATGGGCTACCAATACAAAACTGGCTGTTAACTGGCTAAACAGAGCCCAGAACAACTCGATCCTCACACTGTGTGAAGTCACCACTGGAGTCTGCATTAAGGTGACACAATCTGTGACCGATGTCTTTGTCAAAGCATTTTGGTGCTTGTATTCACAATTTCTCTTCCTTTATGTGAATTCTTCTCTTTTGCTTCTGTAGTTTATTTTGAGTGAAAACTTTCCACCCCATTCTGCCATTTGACCTGCAAAAACCAAAGCTGGAATTAGGTCCACAGAAAATTGACTATTGTTTTTATTGTGTGCACCTTTTTACCATTTGGGCTTGAAAATGAGTGAAATATGTTCCTATCTCTCAAACAATAACCTCTAAAAACACTCCAAAATTAGATCGTTATTATTTTTAATTTTAAGGTTGTCGTAACTTGAAAGTACATCATTTTATGTTAGAAAGTATATTTATGTTTAAATGACAAATGAGAGCGTCTGAAATACCAATGAAAAGAGAAAGCTATGTTTTGCGAAACCTAAAAATCAAGTTTAGTTGCAAATATTGTTAAGGTTATGTATCAAATGTTAAAATGTGATTTATTTTCTACTGTATTTACATATTTATTTTCATTATTGATTTTAGGTTATAGACTCTTTATAAACCAGATTCCAGATTTAGAAGTTGCTGCAGTTTCTTCGCTAATGCCTTAGACAGATCCTCCATTCTTCAACATGCCAGTCATATTACTTGAATTTCTTAAATTAAATAAACAGTCATGTGTTTGAAAACATTTATAAACATATTAAAGGAGATGAATATATGTTATTACTCTAAGACATTTTAGTGGTAGTCTTCACCTTGTATGCATATTTTGGGTCTGTTAGAGCAGTGATTCCCAACCTGGGGTACTCTTACCCCTCGTGGTCTGCAAGTGCATTGCAAGGGGGCATGAAACTACTTAACTTCTTAGGCAGTAGAGTAAGATAGAGCTGGGATCTGTTTTGCTTTGTGACGACCCAATTGAAAAATAAAAAAAAGCTTTTATCAACCAAAAAATAGTTTTTTTCTTACATGTTTGAGTTCCCCTTTAGCTGTGACACCAATAAAAACCAAGCAGAGGAACAGACTGGATGTAAAGAACAGCCTGGTATCCGCCCTTTTTCACACTGAGCTATCGGAGCTCACCAAAGCAGCTCAGGTGTCTTGATGAAATCAAACTAATTAAGTCAGTCTGACTATAGTTTTTGTTGTGTACTTTGTTCCCAATTCATCAAATTAAAATATGATTATAAGGGAGTTACTCAGAGGAGGTCCAGTTTTAAAAATACAGGTTTATAATATAATTTTATTTTGTATTGATTTTGAATAGTCACTAACTTCCAGGCAACATATTTATGTTGTTTTTATTTTATTTGCAATGGAAAGCATAAAATGCCTAGGAATTAAATGCGCAAATTAAAGATTGAGTAAAATAGCTTTAATTTTATAATCATCTGTTCTACGTTCCACTTTTGGACAATCACCTGCCATTTTGATTGAGGGGGTATTCATGGTAAGACAAAATGCCCAAAGGTGTACACAAGTACACATCAAATCTCTGTGCTACTCTGTTGTATTTTTTTTATTTTTATTTTGTTTTTCATTGTGTGTGATACATGTACACTTGCACCTTAATCCTTATTTATCTTGATATACTGTATATACCTTTGAAATACTGTATATATATTGTTTATTCTTAATGCACCTTCTTCTTTAATTACTATGCCAATATGCGACCAGTGAATTTCTCCGCTGTGAGATCAATAAAGCTCATCTAATCTAATCTAATCTAAGTCAGAAAACAGTTGGGAAACACTGTGTTAGAGGGTCCTTGAGTATTGAGAAAACCATTGCATGTAGTGGGACATAATCCAGACAGTAGAACCACACTGTTCTTCGATGTGACTGTATTTTTCTCTTGATATTTACAGAGTGGTCTAATTTTAATTAACATTTTTAAACAGTCTTTTTTTTTCTTTGTTGTAAACAGGGTTGTATTTGTGTCTTTTTTTGCTGATATTGTCATGTTTCTTTCCAGAAACATGAAGATGAGAGTGAAAGCTGGCTTCATCGGCAGGTACTGTAGGCAAAGATTAAAATCCTGTCCTGTTAAGTGTAAAAGTGTTAGAAAAGGCTTACTCTGTTAAAACTGAACAATTACATAATGAGCTTAAATCTAGAGCAGCTTTATAGTAGAAAAAATATTTTCCTTGACTTGTGTTTGTCCATGCAGAATGAACCTCCACTGTTTTCTAAAGATGGACACAAGTTTTTCTTTACTAGGGCGATCCCTCAGGGGGGTAGAGGGAAGTTTTTCCACATCTCTATGTCCACCACACTGGTTAGTATGGGCATAGCTTGCTACCATAAAAATGTCTGATGTTAGAGAAGAATTAATTTTTAACGGCTTTTTGTCATTTAGCCCAACACCAGCACAGACATCCTTCAGTCTCTGACATCTGGAGACTGGGACGTCACCAGCATCTTGGCGTACAGTCATGAGAAGAACCTTATGTAAGTTATACTCCTCCACACAGTACACCTGGCAGTGCTTTAAATCAGTTACTTGGACATCTGGATGATTTACAGATACTTTCTGAGCACAGAAGACGACCCAAAGAGACGGCATTTGTACAGGTAGGATTCTTAAAAAGTCGTCTGGATGATTTTTAGTTGGGGGTTTTTTGACGATATTAACACTGCGTTGTCCAACAGCGCTGACACAATCGCTCCGTTCAACCGCTGCTGCCTCTCCTGTGACTTCAAGTGTGGTTTTGTGGATGTTTCATTCAGCCACAACATGGAATACTTCTTGCTCAGCTGCAAAGGTGGGAAACATCTACATTAAACTTCCACCCTGCAAGATTTGTGTTAAAAATCAGTGTTATCCTGAGTTTAGTGGAAAATTTCATAATTCATATTTTATGTCAGACTAAGGATTAACATAAACTGAAATGTTAAAATTGACCTTTGCTTGTTAAACAGGTTGTTAAATAGTTATTTAAGTGATTTCAGCTCTGTTAACCAATTGTCTTACCTCTACTTGTTATTCAGGTCCAGATATACCAAGTGTGGCAGTTTATAGAACAGGAGACAAACAAAGTGAGTTTTGGATTTTCACACAAAAAATAACTTGACTTATTTTCAAGTTTTGAGTCATTTGGAGCTGTTCTGAAGATATTTGGTTTTTGTTATATCCAAGTAACATCTTCCTATGGGCAACGAGTTGAAGGCACAAACTGTTCATAATTTATTATTTATGGTACGCCAGCATTCATAACATATATTTATATAATTTTTTTTTTTTTAAGTCGAGTGTGTATGACGTCATCACTTTTTTGACTGTGGGAGGAAGCCGGAGTATCCGGAGAGAACCCACGCTTGCTCAGGGAGAACATGCAAACTCCATGCAGAAAGAACCCAAGCCAGGAATCAAACCTTAAACATTCTTGCTGCAAGGCAGCAGTGCTACACACTGTTCCATTATGCAGCCAGATTAAATCCTAATTCAACAATAATCTGTGAGATTTTTTTGCTACACTCGACAAACATATAAACGCAAAATTTTTGTTTTTTCTCTGACTTTCTATGAGATGAACTCAACAATCTAAAACTTTTTCCACATAAATAATACCCAATGTTCCTGCCAATATCAGCTACTTTGCACAGCCATTGAAGAGGAATGGATCAACATTCCACAGGCCATATTTGACAACCCGTTCAACTCTAAAACTTTTTTAACTCATAGTGGTCACACCAGATACTGACTGGTTTTCTGATATTTTTGTTGAGTGAAATTAGTTGAGTTCTGGAAGCAGTTGGTTGCGTTAGACATATTTTAGGTGTATCAAAGAAAAGGAGGCTACAAAACAAATGCACAATATTGTTTTGGGGATTTATATTTGTTAAAAAGGTTTTTCCTTCCACTTTACTATTATGCTAGCCTGATAAACGAGACTAGACGTGAGATTAAATGTGTAATTTAAACTCGCAGGCAAAAATTTATTTTGACCACTGGCAGGTGGGGCTAGTTTACTAGGCTACTATTATTCACTACTTTTTATTCATCTCGTTATATATTATGGTTACAATTTTAACTGATCTCACTTAAAATACACTCTAGGGTCTCTGCCAGCCAGGCTGGCTTCTTAGAAAACATCCATTTGAGGCAAAGTTCATGCGGCAGTCATCGGCTCCAGTAAAATTCATACAAGAACCGCACACATGCTGGCTGCGTTTCACTGAGAGCTTCTAATTTATCCTTTTCCTGTTCTGCAGAAGTGTTCGATGTGGAGACAAATAAGAGAGTAAACTACACATATAACAACATGCAGATGCCCAAAGTGGAGAACAAAACCATCACCATAGAGGATTACAGTATGTAACTACGTTCCTAATCATCTGTCTCCAGTCAGTTATTGGGATATCTGTTGATCATGTTCTTTATTTCTGCAGCTCTGACCATGCAGATTTTGAAGCCAGCAGGATTTGTAGAAACAGACAAATACCCACTGTTGCTGATAGTGTGAGTCTGACTGTTGTTATTTTCTTTGTACCTGAAGCCCTTAGAGTTACACATCACTGTTCAGTCAAACACAATTTTAACTCATGTTTAGGCAACATTTGTGGAACACATTTGTATATAATAGCAATGTTCATTATTTGCGTTCTCTCACCCTCAATGCATGTAGAAGGTCTTTATAAAAGAGACTAAACTGTGTAAAACTTCTTCTTGACCATGGTTATTCTCTTTCATTTTAATTAAGCAACTTTCTCTTGCAACACCTCTAATACTGAGATGTGCCTGTTTAACTGAAAGGAGTTGAACTCCACATGTGAAGAAAATGGTCTTAGTATCATCCCATAGGGATGAAAGCTATAGAAAACTGTGCAGCTGGGTGGGACAAATCATGATTTTTAAAACCATGTAAATGTAGATTGCCAAAATGAAATAGACAAAAAAAATGTTAAAACATTATGATATACTGCTCAATGGTAACTCAATTCCCACTCTGAGATAACTTTGTTAATTTTTTTTTTTTTTTATAATTATATGTGGAGGTAAGAACACAAAGGCAGATATAACATCCTGAATTTGATCACATAGCAAGTTTAACGAGGTAAGGGAAAGCGCCTAAATATTATGGAATGTGAAAAAACAAAAAAAATGCAGGCTGTCATGTTCAGGAGTCACACAAAACGTAAAAATGGATTGCTTAGAGTATCTAAAATTTAGTTCTGTTCTAACATATCGCTCAAATAGCGCCTATTTAGTGTAAATCTAGACAAATTGATCTCAGAGGCTCGGGTTTCTGGCTAGTCCAAGCTTCCCAAGACCACATCGAATTTCTAATGTCCCTGCATCTTAAACAGTTCACGACTTTTCATACAAACTCAGTTTATGATCCCGTCAGCCATGGTAACATTTAGAATCTAGGTTTCAAAAAATAACTGGTGACAGCTGAGGGTTCATTTTGGTCTTTACCCTCTCGACTTTTCTACAGCTTCACCTTCCTCCACAATTTTGTCTGGATTTATAAGATTAGGCCTGTCATTAAAAAAAGAAAAAAAGCAACAATAAATCAATTATAGCATGATAAAAATGAATCACATGACACTTAAATGAGCTCAGCAATTTACATGGGTTTGTTTATTGGTTTACCTTGTGTCTCCCTACCTTTTAACTAAAGAATATGGATAACAAAAGGTTTCACTCTGGTGCATCTGTTTCCATTCCTCCCTTGCTAGTTGAGAATTGGAAAAATAGAGATGGAAAAGACTAATACAACAGCTACGGTGTGGAAATGCTTTGGATTCAAAATGAAAAACAGAAATATTGTTTATCGCAATATATTTTGGGAAAATGAATCGGAATTTGTTATAGTAACAGGCCCCACCATGATAATATGCTGCAAGTCACAGAAATTAAACTAGAACAAACACACATCCTTTGCTGATGGGACGTAATTAGATTTTTGGGGGGGATAAAATCTGGTTAAAATCCTAATCTCGAGGGTTGCATTACCTGTTTTCTCATATTATGCCACCATACACAGGTGCCAGATAACTCATCCTAAAACACACCTGACCAACAAGGCTGAATAAAAGATAAAGAGACCTAAACATGGATGCTCTGTAATTATAAGTCATGCACAATCCAGCTGGTATATTAGTTTGAAGGGATTTAAACTCTTCCTGTGCAGAGACGGCACACCTGGTGGGCAGATGGTGACGGAGCAGTTCTGGGTGGACTGGGCCTATGTTCTCGTCAGCAGTTACAGCACAATCGTTATCCGCTTTGACGGCCACGGTAGCGGCTTCCAGGGAACCAACCTGCTCCATAAGGTCCACAGGAAGCTGGGGAAGCTGGAGGAGAGGGACCAGCTGCAGGCACTCAGGTAAAACCTTTACTCTGGCTGTGAGGCCGACTGAAACTAAAGGAAAGATAGATTTCTTACTCTATTCATTTTTCTTCTTTTATTTTAGGTTCATATCAAAAGAAGGGTACATTGATAAGGATCGAATGGGAGTTTATGGGAAGGTAAGACTGGAATATTATTAATGTTAAAAATAATCATTAACTCAGTTTGCTTCTGCCTTCACTGAACTAAAGCTGAGAGGATTTATGTTTCTCTCACTGCTTGCAGGCCTACGGGGGATACTTAGCCACAATGCTATTGAGCTCTGAAGAGTTTACTCAGCTGAAATGTGGAGCAGCCGTCTCGCCTATAACAGATTTTGAGCTTTATGGTATAATTTCCAGAGGTTTTTAATTAACTTTCTCTCTAGTGTGTCAACAGTTAACATCCCCGTGCAAAACCTTTGATACTTTATAACCAGTTAAAATTCTGTGTAGCACAACTCAATTTACAGAGTAATTATAAAATGGAGGGCAAAACGTATGATTTTACAGTGTGCTATGCATTTGTGTAAAAAACCCTTTTCTTTATAACACTAGAAAATGATTTAATAATAGTAATAACTGAACTTTATTGTATCTCTGCATTTAACGCATCCCCTTGGGGAGCATTGGGCTGCCACTGTGCGGCGCCCGGGGAGCATTGTGGGGTTAAGAGTCTTGCTCAGGGACCCGGAGTGCAGGCTGTGGGGATCCAACCGGATACTTACAACCCTCTCAGAGCACATTTGTTGTTAAAAACATAGAGAGCACGTCACAGTTCCAGATGGGAAGCATAGTAAGGGGAGCATCATGTTTTGGGAGCTAATTTATGATAGGAAGAAGACACAGCACAGCAAATTCATGGTCCCGAATGGTCTCCTTTCCTACCTGAAAAAGCCTTGGTTATTTTATCTGAATAAGCACTGATTCCAGTATCTGGATATGCAAGCTGGTTTGACATATACCGCAGAAGGATGTCGTCTCAGCAAGAAAATTTGGTTCTACAAAGGCAGGCTCAACACTAACGCATACAAGATGTTTCAAATGTTTCTTTCAGAATGATTTGTGCACATTCTTAAAAAGTCTAAAATTTGCTTTTAGCTTTTTCCAGGGTTGGATAATTATTGGTGCAAAAATAAATAAGTTAATAATAGGTTTAGTGTTTGGAAAAAATGTTAGATTTTCCTCACTCTTTTCTTTTTACCTTTTTCTCTGTACAAAATGTAAATACGAAATCTAATAATACTGAACAATTGCAGCAGCTTTTATATTCTGTTATATTTAAATGGTATCTTTTATTTTTGTTTAGAAAAACCACAACCCAATTTTATAATGTTAGGCTTTTGGCTGGTGGACTGAATGCACTATTACTGAACAAACTGACAACTTTAAATTCAGATTCAGTCAGACCTTCGGTTCAGTTTTAAAGCAATGCTGCTCTTTATGCTGGGAATTTAAAATTAGAAGCCAAATTCAGCATTGTTTCATGATTTGTGAAACCTAAAGCCCAGGAAAATTCATTTACTCTTTTGGAAGTTTGAGGTAAAAAAAAAAAAAAACAACAACAAAGGTTTGTCCTGTAAAAGAGAGCTGCTTTTCAAATATGATCATGGTTTGGAAATCTGGATTTTGGTAAAAATTGGAAAATCATTCTCCTTTCATTTTGCTTCTTATATATACCCTACATTTATTAGTCTGTCCAATAAAATTACAATAAAATAGATTAGTAAAATAAAATATACTACGTTTCTGGTTGTAATGTTTTAGAACATGGAAAAAGCTTAAGGGGTGTGGGTATATTTTCAAAGACAAGATGTTTGTCGTTTAACTTTATTTTCCTTTTTTTTCACCAAAATTCTAGCATCTGCATTTTCAGAGAGATACCTTGGACCGAAGAGGGACTCCCGAGTTTATATGGTAAGCCGTCTTCAGATTTAAGATCAAGATTTTAAAGTTTGAGGAAAACATATCGAATGAAGTTGTGATAGATTTTTCTTTTTCCCTTCTTCAGACGGCAAATTTATCTCAGAGGGCGGGTCGTCTGCTGGAGAAACAGTACTTAATAATTCACCCGACAGCTGATGGTATCACACGTACACAGTTGTTTATGATTTTAAATCACCATGAAAGAAGTAATAAGAATCTGTGTTTCTCTGTGTCTTTGCTCTTATTCTCTACAAACACAGAAAAGGTTCACTTCCAGCACACAGCCAAATTTATCAACCATTTAATCAGCGAGAAGGCCAATTACACTCTACAGGTGAGCTTCACATGCTGTCAAAGAGATTCTTGGTTTTCACTGAAACATTTATAAATGTCAAGTCAAACAACAGACAAAACTTAGTGAACTAAATAAGTATTTTTTTTTCTTAAAATAAGGGAATTTTTTCTTGAATTGAGGAGGTAAGTGAGACACTTTGCCAATGGGACAATACAATTTACATCTAAAATAGGAAGAAACAATAGCATTTTCTTATTTTAAGAGCAAAAACACTAATTCTATTAGCAAATTTTTCCAGGTAAAATTCAGGTGTTTGTAATTGTGCTTTTAACTGATGAAATGGGACATGAATTTATCATATTTGGACATTCTTATATTTTATTCTGCGTCAGTTATTTTTTAACAGTACAGTATTCTGAAGAAAATGCATCTGCAGTTTTCTACCAGATCCTCCTTAGTCCATGGCGACTATCATGTGTTCAGGCCTTTAAAGTGGCTTCCTTGTGGCAGGCTTAGTCCTAATTATTCCTGAATTCCATTTATTAGTTTGGGTTTCTTTCAGACTTTTATAAGAGGGTGGTCTCTCTCTGTAGGTACAAATAAATTTCACCTGCAGAGAGACCTTTGAACTTAATCATGAAAGTAGTTGTATCTGTTACTATTTTACAGATTTACCCGGATGAGGGCCACTTCCTGCACAGCGAGGGCACACAGCAGCACCTGAGTCAATCCCTCCTCAACTTTTTTGAGGAATGTTTCCGGAAGCCGGAGGCACCCAAGGACGATGAGTCGGATGAGCCAGAGGAAAACAGTTAAACCCAGGCAACCCTGGCCTGCTCCTGTATCACAGCACAATATGCAACAAATCTTTCCAACCTAAAGTCTACACCACCTGCCGTCCAATCTGATTTTAGCTCTAATCTGAAGCACCTGCATGTGTGATCCCTGCAGTTCGACTCACACTGGCTGCTGTTGAGAAAACCAGTCAGACAGAGGCTGAATAAAACTCAGATAAGAACAGATATATCTCCAACTAGCTGGACCAGTGCGCCCTCTGGTGGACAGACAGAGGATCCTCCAAACCCTATCAGGCAGGCTAAGCAAGTTCTTTGCAGGTTATTCCCATGAAGAGAAGAGAAATCATTTTTTTTAATGCTGCCAGTTTGTGATAACCTTGCCAATTAACTTGATTATTGTGTTCTTGGTTTAATCAGAGTTGTTTTTTCCAAATTCTCTGTTTAATGTCTTACTGTGTGTCAGTGAAAGCATCAGTCCATAGTGGCTTTAGAAGTTGAAGGCACAATGTAACGCTCAAAGATTGTATAAATAATGAGGTTTTAATAGTTTCTTTGTGCCCACTTTTCTTTATATAGCTCTTGTTTTAGTCACTGTGCCTTACTGTGGGGGGATGTTCACGTTAGGAGCCCACACCACACTATAAAACAAGCAACATGGTCCGAACAGAGCAACAAAGACATTTATGATTTAGAACAAAGTATTTGTTGTATTTTTTTCCTCGCAGCACATTGGACAGAGCTTCATATAAAATAAACAGACATCATCTTATATTACCTACCAACACATGTAACCATTAGTTAGTTTGCAGTTTCCTGATATTTAAAGTCATTTTATTATTTGAACAATTGTTTGCTGATGTCCTAAAGAGCCTTTCCTCACTGTGTCATTTCTGTTTGTACCGTGCGTGGATTCCAGTCAGCTGCTGTAAAAAGTGTATAAACCTGACATGAGGTCTCTATGTTGTATGTGCAACTTGTACATAAAGCATTTTGAAATGTATTTTGTCTTCGATTTCCTGACTCTAAAGCAACAGACTAACAGTGCAGCAGGACATCATGCATTTTATGCATAAAAAGTCATATTTTTTAATTTAAGCGAACAGTTATCAAGAGTTATCTACTCCCTCTAAAGGTAATAATAAAGGCAAAAAAAAAACAACATGTTAAGACATATACTCTTACCCATAAACAGAGTAAATGCACAATAATTTTTAAACTTTTGAAATTCTTAAACTGTAACTTTTCATAGTTTTATCCTGTTTATATGATCCATAAATTCTGAAATTAAACAATGATAGTTATTTTAGCTTTAGTCTACAATCTGTAATACTTCAATTGCAAATAAAGAAATCAAGAAATCTTGTTAAGAGTTTCTAAACCTTTATTTAGTCTGTAAGTCACCAGAAAAAAGGCAGCCTCTGAATTTGGTTTCTAAGATCTACATGGAAAGGATGCATCATAAATGCAATAAAGTTGCCCTTACCTGATTTTTGTGTGAGCAGTTTTTCACTGGGTTGGTAAATCCGCCTTAAATATGACAATTTAATGTCTTCATTAAACTAACGTTATTGGTCTTAGATATGTGGATCTACTTCCATACTTTTCAACCTGATTGTTATTAACTTTTTTATGGCAGTGTTTGCATTGAGTTAGTTGAAAAGTAAATAAACAACCTTATTAATAAAGCTTAAAGGGCATTTTCCACTAACTGCTGATAAAGATATGACTGTTAAACATGCAGGCAGCAGTTTTAATGAGGACAGAGCAGCTGATAGGGACTACTTTAAAGAGCGCCTAAAATCCTTCCTGTTGAGGAACTCAATTTTGTTTTGCACCAAAGCAGTGTTACAGGTAATGACAATTACCTTTAATTATTAGTGCAATGGTGCCAGTACAATCTAACCCAGATAAACATCCATCCTTCCTTTATCGCACCGCCTATTCCCTAATGGGAATCTCTATCCTAGTAGTCAAAAGGCAACAGGCGGGGTACACCCTGGACTGTTCGAGTCCATCGTAGGGCCACACAGAGACATGCAAAGAAGAACGCACTCACTCCTTAGGGCAATTTGTGATGTCCCACCAACCTAACATGTTTTCGAACTGCGGTAGGAAGCCAGAGAACCTGGTGAAAAAGACAGCGAGAAAATGCAAACTCCACACAGTTTTGAACCCAGAACCCTCTTGCTGTGAGGAAATGGTGCTAATCACCACACCACCGTCCCATCCTCCCAAATAAACAATTTATTGAATAATCACAGATTTAAAAGGTAAGAGCTTTTAAGCCTAATAAAGCCAAATCTCTGCCTGTAGATGATGCACCTAAGAAATGGGTCAGCCACCGATGCATCTGGAAGGGCAGCAGGCAGATATTTATCATACAGAGTGAGGTGGAAACTTTAGATGATGACCAGATATCATAAAGGGCAGTAAAGAAGCCAATTCTCTCCAAACAAAACACCAAGAACCAGGGTTTGAATGCAGAAGGCTGGTCATATTTACAGAGGGAACCCCTTTAGGTTATAATGGGAAATCTGAAGAAAAAAAAACGTGAAATGGCTCATATGACATGTGAATAGTGAAACATCCTTAGATTATTAATCTGAGAGGTCCAAGCTTTACAATCATTCCTAAAAAGCACCACAAATATTTAAATACTACTTTCAAAATGCCCTCCTGGTGAAAGGTGGTAAATAGCACCATAATATCAGAAAAGTTAGAAGGTCAGATCAAAACATAAAATAATTGGAGTTTGTTTTCGTCAACCTGATTGCATGTTGGGAGAAGCTTTTGAAACATCCGACCTTGAGGACATCTTAGAGAGATCTAGCAATAAAGCATTTACAGGTTTATGAAAACTACCTATTTCTACCAATGTAGAAGCTTTTGATCTATAACAGCACATACATTTCATTTCACATGTAAAACAGTGATATAAACATAAAATCTTAACAGAAAGTTTTGAAACAAAAACTACATAAAATCTGCCATATTTAAGACTTTATATTTAATCACTTCTATGTAGTTTGCCTTGATTAGAGGTTTCAGGAACTGAATTGTTTTCAGCAAAGTCCAGACATTTTCTGAGGTTCAGTGATTTAAGTTATTTCACAAGCCTCATACACTAACACCACGCGTAGAGCAGACAATTATGCCCAAGGTTAAACCATTTAGCTGTCAGAGAACAAGAGCAACACAGCAGGATGCTACCGCCGCCATGCCTGACAGCAGATCAGCAGCTGCAATCTCCAAAGGATTGTGTTTCAATCTCAATCTGAGGCAATTTTTAAATACAGTGGCAGATTGACAGGCGGATTGGTGTGGTGTCTGCTGTGAAGCGGGCACTGTACCAGTCCATTGTGGTGCTGAGAGAGCTAAGCCAAAAGGCAAAGCTCTCGATTTACCGGTCGATCTACGTTCCTACCCACATCTATGGTCATAAGCTTTCGGTCATGACCGAAGCACCAGATCCCAGATACGAGCGGCCAAAATGAGTTTTCTCCGTAGAGGGTCTGGGCTCTCCCTTAGAGGTAGGGTGAGGAGCTCAGTCATCCAACTCAGAATAGAGCTGCTGCTCTTCGATGTTGAGAGGAGCCAGTTGAGGTGGCTCGGGCATCAGGATGCCACCTGGACGCTTCCTTAGTTATGTGTTCTTGGCACGTCCCACCGGGAAGAGACCCAGGACACCCTGAAGGGACAATGTTTCTCAGCTGGCCTGGGAACGCCTTGGGATTCCACCGGAGGAGCTAGCCCAAGTGGCTGGGGAGAGCAATGTCTGGGCCTCCCTACAGAAGCTGCTACCCCCAAGTCTCAAAAGCAGAAGAGTATGGATTGAGTTGGGAAAGAAGGATTCCTCATAAAAAATGTTTCCATCTTAATTGTTATAAAGAGGAAATACAAAAGATACCACACAAACACAAATGAGTTTCTACCATTGAGAAAATTTATTTCCAGTGTTTCAGGGATCTGTGCACATCCTTCACAATCTGAGGAACATTGTAATCATACAAATAATCCACCTGAAAAATCCACTCCTCCCCACAGAGAAGTACCAAACTGCCCACAACACTCACCATCATCATCGTTTTTTCACAATACTGTACTTGGATCCTGCGATTTGATGGGAGATGCAAAGTAAAGCAGCTAAAAACATGGCATTTATATGTACATTTAAATTACTCTTGTTTTTTTTTTTGTTTTTTTTAAATCTCCCGATGAATATTTAAAATTCAAGTTCTGTTAAAACAAAGAGATGAAAAACAAGATAAAGATGTATAAAACATTAAGACCAGAGTGGAATGCCTAAAGAACGGAAGCTCTGCATTTTTTGTTTTTTTCGTTACCAGCAGAAAGACTGAGTGGACGATTTAAAAAAAATAAAGCGTCATTCACAGCAACATGTTTAACAAAGACAGTATGGCACCCTTTACATTTCTATGTGAGGCACTTTCTTATTATAATTAAACGTCTCTATTCCTGAACAACCCTTTTCATTTTATTTCACTTCCGTTCAGAGATGAAGAAACCATCAAGTCTAAAAACACAACTTAACACGTACATCAATGGAATGACGGGCGCCGCCTTGTTTTTTTTTTTTCTAAACCACACAGCAGGATGAAGATAAACCGTATCAACTGTTTGCATAAATCCAGTCACTTTTATACCTTCTGAAAGGCCCCGTTAACAGCAGAGAGCTTGTAGGCAGTCAGTCGCACACAGGCTGTACCAAAAAACACACTTCAAGTACACAGAAAAATAAGAATATGTACACTTTCGAATGAAAACAAGCATGTAAAGCTTTTAGTCAGTATTACAGCAAGCATGTCTGTACATTCTTCATTTGGTTACCGACAGCCTCGCTGACTTTAAACGTAACTTTCTCAACACAAAAATAGTTCCTCTGCAATACTAAAATCTGTACTTTTATTCAAGTACCTCCTATTATTCTAGGTCAGATCCTCCCTATAGGCTCAGCTGGACATTAGAGCTTTTAAACTTCCTTAAACCCGCTTCCCCAGGTCAACATTTCATCAGCAACAGGTCCTTTACTTTGACTTATTAAAAAAAGTTATAAACGTTTGTTTCATGCCTTGTTCAGGGGGTAGATAAAAGATTCATCTGTTTTCATAACGCACTCACACCAGGTAAAAGACACACTCCGGACACCGTTTGTAAACATGCTCATTCGCCGACATTGGTCACATGACAGAGGATATAGAGACAGAAATACATCCCACACACACACACACCTGTCACAGGTATTGGTAGAAGCGCGAATGGACCACCTGGGAGCTCGTGAGTTTATGAGGGTGAGCGGTGGCTGACAGGCTCAGATTTTTACTCTGTGAGAGTTCACCGTTTAACGCCTCGACAGGATGACGCACCATTTCGGAGGATGACGAGGCCTCGGAGTTCTGGGAGTTCGTGCTGCATGTCGCCCCGAGCTGCTCTGAGAGGTCCAGGCTGACCTCTGGGTTGCTGGTGCGGTGGCGCTCGCGGGCAATCCAGTCGCCGATGGAAAAGTCCTGAGAGCTGCACTTTGGTTTAAGCCGGTCTACGGCTGACAGTTCAGAGCGTGCGCCGACAGGCTGTGACCAATCCCCCAGAACAGACAACTCGGCAAAGTCCCTCTGCCCGCCCATGGTATGCCTGCGTCTGATGTTCTTTTTCTTACTGCGACCCTCCGGGGAGCGGCTCCTCTGGCTGCCCACGCCGAACATGTCGTCCACAGACGTTCGCAGACGCACCTTTAGTCGATCTGTGATCTTCAGTTTCCACGCTGGCTCCATTTTATCCAGTTCGCTCCTCGACGACGAGCTAAGACTCCCAGTGGAGCGACCTTTAGCTGAACCCACCACCTGGGATAATCTGTTGGGGTCTTTTTCGCCACGAGCGCCGTCCAATGAGGACTCACTTTCAGTTTTCTGTTTGCTAGCTTTCTTTCTGGACAGCGTGTCGCATTCAATGAGCCTCTGCGATGGGAGCAGTCTGGGAGCCTCTAAAGGTTCCCTCATTTCAGCTTTCCCAATGGTGAACACCGACAGGTCGCTCTCGCTGTCCGTCTCCATAGCCCGCCCCTCGCTGATGAGCTCGCTCCTCTCGTCATCTGCATCTTCCCCCCCTCTGCTCTCCGACACAGACTGCACTTCAGGACTGAGCGTACTGGTCTCAGCTCCGGTCAGGAATGTCATGGAGGAGGTGGTGGAGTAATCTGAGGTGATGGAGCAGACCTCTGCTCCCAGTCCTCCAGGACATCCATCTGCACCCACAGGTGCATTTTTGTTGCGCCTCACTCTGGGCACCGAAGCCTGAGAGCTGGTGCTGTTCATCGTACCGAGGTCCGACACTGTGTCATCGTAGTTGGAAGGCGGGTCTGACAGGGATGACTGATGAGTCGTCGGCATGCGGTAGTTGAGGTTTGGGGAACTGGAAGGAGAGGCGTACGGCGGCCCCTGAAGGCTGGAAGAAATGTGCTCTGAATGGAGGGAGGCAGACGCTTCTGATTGTTTCCCGACAGGTTCGTCCAGCAGGTCCTCTGAGCTCTTCTTGTGCTTGTCTTTATCCCCGGCTTCATCCGTCAGGCCGTCGTCCTCCGTCTGGCTGTCCTGGGACCACAGAGGCTGCTGCCCCTCCTTTGCAAGCTCCTTTTTGTTAAAACCAGAATCCAGGTCATCATCTGAACTGCTAAGTTGAGGTTTTTCTTTATTTTTCTTGCGTTTCCGGTTGGCAAAGATGGAGGAGCGCAGCATTTCCTTGCTACACTGATTCCCTGAAATCCACAAGCCCTGAAGACATAAACCAAAACAGTATTAAAGACTAATCAAAGTGTTATTTGACGCGCACAAACAACAAAACAGTGAAATTTATGCCTTTTAAACATTAGGAATCTACTCTTCAAACAGCTTTGCTTTCCAACTCTCTCATTGCTATCATTACTCCTAATTTTTTGTTCACTTCAAATACTATCTGAAAATAAGTAGACAATTCTTAAAATAAGTGTATTCACCCTTAATTTGTGTAGCTAAATAAGATTATTTGCCAGTGCAATGAGTGCTTTTACACTTAAAAATAATAAAATGAGATATTATGGACTTGAAATAAGACAATGCAGTTGTTTTTTTATTTCAAAATACTTGTTTTAAGAAAATTTTAAGTTTTTCCTTACAACTTTCTTAACCTGACAACAGCCAGATGCATGTCTCGCTCCGCCTAGCTCCACTCACATACATCTGGGAACCCGCCATAGGAATTGCCTTTACTGAAGGCTGGGCCTTATCAAAACTCCTTGCATATGATTGGATAAGCCACTTGTCTGTCATCTTTTTTGACATGCTATTTCAACCACTCACACCGAAGCTAACCCGTGACGCTGTGAGAGGAGGAGCCATTTGGTAGATCAAGCTCTTGCCAAATCCGGTCGGGAGAAGGGCGAAAACATCGTTTCCACCAACAAAAGCCTTCAAAGCCGTTCTCTGATGTTCTTTTAATGAAACAATATCAGATAGATTGGACAACACAGAAGAAATAGCAGCATCAATGCTAACGCTTGCTTCCTCAATGCGAGCCGCCGTTGTTGTTGGAATCTCACTGTCGCTTCTCCACTCCAGGACACACCTGCGTCCTGATTGGACAGACCATAAATTCGGTTGGGGAAATCACTTTCAATGAGCGGGTTCCCAGATGTATGCGAGTGAAGCTGGGCGGAGCGAGACATGCATCTGGCTGTTGTCAGGTTACAACTTTCTAATGACATGCTTGGAAACAGCACACTGAAAAGTGTATTTTCTGAAAAACTAATCATTTAACTTAACAAACAGAAACACTTCAAATACACAGGTTTCCCGTTTTGAATTAAATGATTATAAGAAAAATTAACTGGATAAAAATCTTAGGTAATGAGAAGCTGCTCTATAAATAAGCACAACAACAAGGTGTTTAAAAAGTATCTTACCTTGGATTTATTGGAGTCAGGACATGCTGGGTCTGCATTAGAACAAGAGACTTATCAGTACATGGAGGAGTTTTAGAAAATGACACTTTGCTAAAATAGACAGAATGGATATAATGAGAGCAGCTTGACAAAAGCGGATGACGCATTTCCCGTAAGAAAGACAGGAAGAGAAGTAACAGTCAGCGTTAATGCAAAAGGGTGAACAGAGCAGCAGAAGGTGCCTGAGATGAAGGAGAAGAGGTGAAAACCCGGCAGTAAAGGACACAAAAAGCAGCTCATGCTCATGTATCAATGGAACGACGGCACATCGGGGACAAACACGGCAGTCACAGAGCATTACATGGAGCCACCAACCAGCTGAGGGCATTCTTTCCCAACTCAAGACGTCACAGAGGAGGGTGAGTCAATGAGATTTCCCTAACAGAAATTTGAGGTGGCCCTGAGTGTGTTGGATCGGTGAGGGTGTGTGTGATCGTAAGCTGGAGCAGGCAGGCTTCATTGCTACAGATTTTTCTCACTCAGAAACCTGCTGTATTGAAATTAAAACATGGACCCGGTCACTAAAAACAAAAAAACAAAAGGCAAAAGGTAAAACAGTGCGCAGCTAAACTTTAGACTGAAACTAATGATAAGAAGCAGATCAATCGGCCTTTCTAAACAAATACTTACAGAAACTTTTGAGGTCAAAGAAACAAAAGTAACTCCTGCCTAGATTCAAAAGAGCAACAAAAAAAGGCTGCAAACAAAAGGGTCTAAAAATCAGTGAGGACATTTCTAAGGCTTTCGTTTTATTTCATAGCATGCTAAATTTATATTTGTACTCGAGGGTCACATGATCACCTAAACCACAATAAGGAAATCCATAGTAAATTATTGGTGCCACCAATCTATTGGTCAGGGATCAAAACCAACTCTGACAGGTGACCAGCAATTTTAATTAAATGTTTCAAAACTAAAAACTCCCACCAGCACGTTCTGAGATTCACTTCAAATGCTTTGTTCATATCAACGGTTCTTTACTTTTCATTGTTGCTATACATGTACCTAAAATAAATTTTCCACCTAAAGCTCTCTAAGCTTTGTGACTAGAGGGTTTGAAACTCAAAAATTCTGATCATTGAATGCAACACAATTGCTGCACTGCAGATTAATTTGGTAGAAATGCTGTAATGAGGGTTCCTACTAATCTTCCAGGTCTAAATTCCAGACTAACATTTCCATGTTACTCAGCCCTTCACAGCATATTACATGATATACAATACAGATATTTATAGGGATGGATAGAAAAAGAATGACAGAAGAGTGAACGGAAGAAAGAGAGCAGAGTGAAAAGGTGGAGGAGAGAAGAAAAGAGAAAGAAATAAAGTCATAGAAGGAAAGGCAGTGTGAGAAAGAATGAAGGGTATGAGAGTAAGAAACAGCAAAAAGGAGAGAACAGCAGAAAGACAGAAATAAACAGAATAAAAAAGGACATTAGGAAGAACAAATATAAGCAAAGATTGGAAGGAAGGAAAAACGTAACGAGGGATGAGGTTCTGAGGACAGAAGGAAGGAATATGGAGAGATGATGAAAGAGACGACATTGAAAAGGGAAGGAAAACAGAAAGAAGCTCACTAGATTAAGACAGCGTGAGCAGCAATAGAAAGTCTGAAAATATGAAAGAACGTATCTGCATATTTTTACTTTTCCTTTGTTTGTTTTTTTTTTTAGAATAACTTTTTTTGGTTTCTAGTTTAGGGAATCAAAACTGGAAGATTTCAGACTAATCGACAAATCGATGCTCGATATATAGGACCTCACTGCATATTTATAATGAAAAGTGTTTCCACTACAACCAAACAGAAACCCTTACAAAATTCTAGCCCAACATAGCCACTGATGGGATGGTGTATTCCTCTAATCTGAACACAGAAAAAGAAGTTGCAGGTTGGGGTAAGGCTACGTTCATATAGCAGGCCTTAATGCTCAATTCAGATTTTTTTGTAAAATCCGATTTTGTTTGCATTGCTGTTCACATTTCCAAATAAATGCGACTTGAATGTGATCTCCTGTGTGAACTGCATTCATACAACTTAAGTGTCCAGCATGCGCTATTGAGGACACATTGACAGCACAAGCAAGTGTGCTCTGTGTTTACGGAAGTACATGGTTGGTGATCACTCAACTAGCAATCTTTCCCAACCTTAAATATTCAATCTTTTTAAGATGGTAAAAAAAAAAATAAACTGCTCTACACATTATTGTCCAGCATGGATGTTTTTCTTCCCGCTTCCACGTAGCAAGATGCAGAATAGTGACCTTTGTTGAGAATTAATGACGTTCAGGTGGGATGAATGCGACCTGGCTGTTCAGACACAGGTCGCATTTGAAAAGATCAGATTCATATTGGATTCAGGACCTCATAGTCAAGTGCTCTGGTTTGCATTGGGAAAAAAAAACTGATCTGTGTTGTTCAGACTGCCATAAAAAAATCAGATACAGGTCGCATATGGGCAAAAAAAGAAAAAACAAAATCTAATTTGAGTCACTTCAGGCTTCAATGTGATCGTAGCCTATGTGACATTCTGCAGTGACTTTCCTGACCAGTTCCACTGAGCTCTAAAAACCAACATCTACTATTGAAATTTCAGGTAAGAGTCACTAAACAATGACTGGACTAACAGACCAGATTGACACTGTTTCTGTGTTTACTATGATGTAGGAATACAGTGAGTGATTGATGCGGTGTCAATAGTTATGTAACAGAGGGAGATGAGAAGCTATGTGTGTGTCTGTAGTCGATGGTGTGAAAAATTCTACAGAGACAAAAAATGTTTACATCACAGAAAATAAAAGACAAAAAAAGGCAGCACCTGAAACCTGAAAAAAAAAGTAAAAGAAAAAATCTACACAGACACAAATTTGCCTCCATCTACATGCTCACAGTTGTTTAATGTGCAACCTGGAAGCCTGCACACCTCTGCATCAGTTAGTTCTGATCGGGCTGGGATGTGGCTGTATGAGTGGAGTTTTTGTGTGTGCCAAAGGGAGGGGGCATCCAGCTCCGTCCTAACCCTATGAACCCCACCCTCGGACATCATGACAGATTATGCCACATAACCGGAAGAGAACCTGAGGTTGTCCATACCATGCTACTTGTCCTTGGGATCAGCTTAAAAGACAACAAGAGACAGCAGAAGGGCTTTCAGAGAAAGTGCAGCAGCGTGGCTCTGTATCCCCTCAGTTTAGGGTTTAAATATGAGATGTGCACAGCACAGGAACAATGACAAACATCGACTTCTCTTTCTTTCTTTATCTTTTTTTCCTCCTTTCGGCCAAATTTAAAAGAGCTGCGGGTTTCTGCAGACTAGGCAGCTACACTGGGCACAACACTCGTCCTTCTTCCTACAGTCCCAGCTGTCCATCACTGACAAAACAGAGTCCATCAGGGACACCATCGAGTGATAGACGCCGCCCACTTGGCCTGTGTCAAGATTGGGTAATGAGTGAGTGCTGGACAGGGATAAGGGAGGAGAAAGAACACACTATACACAGAAGGGCACAGGTCAGAAAGGGTTACAACTTCCATCGTTTATGTTTTTGTTTGGTTTAAGATTTTCTTTGGGAAAGAACATGCCGGGATTATGTGAGAGATGATGAGGAGGGGAAGAAAAGAACTGAAAGAAAAGGAGTCGTCATTCAACATAGAAAAAGCACAGGGAAGGAAAAAAAAAGGACTTAAGCACGGAAAATAAAAAGTAAAGCAAAGAAATTAATGGAAATAAAAACTGGACAAATCTACATTTGGGCAGAAATAACAAAACCAAAGAAATCAAGAAACAAATAATGACAAAACAAATTCAGACAAAAAAATAAATAAACCAATAATAAAAAAAGCTCTGCTGCAAGGGGTTTCTCAGCAATTTTCCAGTGATTCAGCCACTCCATGATACACACTGAAAAACCACTGAAAAAGCTTGCTGTAAAAATACTCACAAAAACAAAGCTGATGTTTTTGTTCTGGCTAAAAGTATGTAAAACAATTAAAATACGTTTTATTGCATTTTGTAACTTATCTACCATATTTAACATATTCTCATATAACATAACATTATGGAATATGGCTGTTGAGGTAAAAGAAATAGAGCTTCTGAGTTACCTGAAACTTCACCAGGGGAGGCAGGAACTCGGCTAATGTTAGTGAGCAGGTGGCCAATATTGGGCACAGGTTGAGACTGCACTGTGTTTTCCTGCTCAGAGGCCGTCTGAAGCATCAATAAGGTAGACAGGAGAAGAATAAAAGAACAAAATTATATTTTAGACTAATTACAATGGGTTCAGTACATGTAAATAAACACAAAAACTCCAAATGCAGTTTTCTAAATAGTGGATAGAATTGGGACCAATCTTGCATGAAAGCATTCTCACATTTAGCACTTTTTGTCACGATGCAGGCATGAACATAGTCAAATAATACATATTTGTAAAGAAGAGGGACAATCATATATTATTACACGGTTGCTTACATATAAAAATAAGAATAAAATGTGCTTCCTTTAACTCAAGATAGCTGTAAATGAATTGCAAGGCACTGCATATCACCCTGAACCAACATTTAATGGAAACATGGCAGTGGCAGCATCACGTTCTGGGGTGCCCTTCTTTGACAAGGACAGAGAAGGTGGTTACAGATCAGAAGATCGATGAACCTGAATGCAATGCAATTGTACAAGGAATATATGTTAGATTCTGCAAAACCCGGAGTTTGGGGGGGGGGGAAACAGCTAACCAGACAGCCTGGATTATGATGGAGACGTTTGGTTTCCTGTCAAAGTCCTGATTTAAATCTACTGGTAAAAGTGTGGCCATATATGAAAGCTGATGTTGAAAGCCCCACTCGATTTATTCCAGGGGTGGGCAATTCCAGTTTTGTATCCTGCATCTTTTAGATGTGCCTTTGGTTCAACACATCTGAATCAAGCAACTAGATGATCGAGAGGACTCTGGAGGAACTGACTGCATACTGAGGAGGTAACTCAGCTATTTGATTCAGGTGTGTTGGACCAAGCATGGGTCTTAAAGTTGCAGGTTACTGGCAACTAGGAAGTGGAATTGCTCACCCCTGATTTAATCTGACTGATGAGGTTTACTCTATATTTGTAAAACTGAAAAGGACAAAAAAATTTAAAAATCTAGATGTATTAGGTTCAAATGTTTCACGTGTGTCAAGAGCTGAATCTGCTGGGGATGAATACAAACTTTTCCGTTATTTTGCAAATAATTATTAGTGAGTGACTTTTCCTATTCCCAAACATTAAACTTATTAAAAGTTTAATGTTTAATGAGGGGGTGATATGTAGAAAGGACCACAATTTGTACATGGGTTTGTGCGTGCTAACCACTGTGCCATGGAAGCACACCCCTATTCTCAAACATTTTATTTGAGTTGAACCACAAAATCTATGGAAGTTTTCATCTGTAAAAAGTTTCAGTTATTTATTTTTTTCCACACACTACTTACAACAGGGTCCTCATTGCTATCTTCCATAAAGAACCAGTCGAACTGCAGAATGAGGTTCTCCACAATCTTGCACTGGTCGGGCATGTGATTGACCATGTTGGTCATGTTGTCCTCTGTCGTTTTGACCAATGTCGGGCCGAATACGATTGCCAAGTTGCGAGGCTCCATCTAGACACAATGTCAGAAAAAGACGAATTAGATTCCTGGACAAATTCCTGAAATTGGTAAACTCAGGACTTGTTGCCGGCAGGTCACACCTTGTTCTGTTCACAGTTGTCAGAAACTCTTTTTAGGTGAGCGCAAAGGAATTTCAGAGTTTCAAAGTGATGAGTGGGTAATTCATAGATCTGCAAAACAAAACCATTATTAGCACCTTAGAATTTAATAATTGCATTCAATTAAACGCCTTGCATTTCAGAATCTACTCACCAGCCTCTTGAGCTCCTTTAGTCTCTCCACTGAGTCTTCTGTCCTGCTGGCTTCAATAAATTTATCATATTTTTCTGAGAACGGGGCAAAAAAATGTACATTAGTACAAACACGGACACAAGGCTGCTGCCCTATTTGGATTTCAAAATATAATCTTACCATTTGTAAACAGAGGATCTGGAAGTTTTCGGAAGAATGATTTTAACAGACTGCTGATGACATTGAGGTCCCTCCATTTCTGCAGAGATTTCTAAATGTTAGGGAGAATCATGGAGGCAGCACTTACAGTGAAAATGGTTTGACAGCTACTCACATCTTCCTGGATGTCAATGTCACCCATGCCTTTGGTGTCGAGTTCCTCCTGCATGCTAGAGATTGCTGCGTTGTTTCCAGGAACTCGGTAGATTCCCGTGTATTCAAGTCCACGCTCCTCAACGACCTTACAGCACACCTCCACCAGCAGAGGAACAAACTACACAGCAACAAACACCACATCATTCCATTGATTCAACAACTATGCTGTAAAGAAACCCCAGCTCACACTGATGAGCTGAACATAACTTGGGGATTTCTCTTACAAAGAGAAAAAATATAAATGCTTCATGACGACATTAAAACAAAGAAAACATTTTAAAAAACCCACCCTGTTAATTTGAGCAGGTGGACAATCTTCAAGCCTGACACCAAAAGTGATGCCAGCTTGCTTTTTTTCAAATGGTTTTTTCATAATCCCAGCTATGCCGATTTTCCAAGCTCCCCTGTCTCGAGGTGGACTTGAATCCTCTGTAAACAAGCCAAGAAATAAATGAGCCACCCGATGATGAAAGATGTTGTGACCACCATAAATGATTGTGACGATGTTACCTTTCAGCGCCCTTCGCTCATCTCCCGTTCTGGGCGAATGGGAGCTGTGGCTCCGGCCCTCTGCTTTACCTCCCAGGAAGGCTTGCTTGATGCTGAGTGACTGGCGAGAGGATTTCGGGGAGGGTTCTGATCTGCTGCTGGGAGCGCTGAGCAACAGAAAAAGTTAGACAGATTAAAATAAAGAGGTTTTTTGTTTGGATGTTTAAAGGGATAGTTCGGTATTTTTGACATGAATCTGTATGGCATCCCGATCACCAGCGGCATGCACTCACACTGACTTACCCCTGGCAGCGTCCTGTGAGCAGAGTTATCGTCCAGTTTTGGTCAAGCCGAAAGTAGTCCTGCAGGTTTTTAGGTACAGCGAAATAAAACTTTTCTCTTCCCAAAACATTATGTGTCCAAAAGAGTGATATTTTCGCATCCCAAAAACATTGTAGTGGAAAAAGTCACACGTCGTTATTAATTGGTCCTATTTTCTCTCTGTTCGTATCAGTGCGCGCCGTCATTCAGACAGCGAGCCCAACAACAGCCATGTCTCCCTCCGCCGCGGAAGGAGACATGGCTGTTGTTGGGCTCGCTGTCTGAATGACGGCGCGCACTGATACGAACAGAGAGAAAATAGGACCAATTAATAACGACGTGTGACTTTTTCCACTACAATGTTTTTGGGATGCGAAAATATCACTCTTTTGGACACATAATGTTTTGGGAAGAGAAAAGTTTTATTTCGCTGTACCTAAAAACCTGCAGGACTACTTTCGGCTTGACCAAAACTGGACGATAACTCTGCTCACAGGACGCTGCCAGGGGTAAGTCAGTGTGATTGCATGCCGCTGGTGATCGGGATGCCATACAGATTCATGTCAAAAATACCGAACTATCCCTTTAACTTAAAGAGTAATTGCTTCAGGTAGCCACCAGGGGGCAATGCAGTTCCTTCAATACCTCATCATGTTGTATTCTTTGATCTTTCTACTAATCAAATCCTGGCTGGTGACAGAGGCATTCTGTAAAAAAAGAAAATAAATAAATAAGCAAATGTTTATATATATATAAAGATATGGACAGAAGAAAAACATATTACTAAAAACTAAATGGCAATAACCAATAAAGACACCAAACACTTCGAATCAGAAGACACAATAAAAAAATCTCATATTACATAACACTAACTTGGTGTCAACCAGGTAGAATCCTGATACAAACTTTTCATTTCCAATACGATACCAATTTTGCAGCTATGAAAATTGACCAATACCGATAATACTTATTTTGTACAGAGTAATGTCAGAAAAGGCTTGATCAAGTAATATTACTAAAACAGAGAAATAATTAAACAACAATGGTAGGAGAACAACTGGCTGATGTGTTAACCAATGATCTATAAAAACTTTTAAACCGAAGCAGTTTTGACCAGCATGTCAATATTGCAGATTTTACTGGCCATTTTTTTGGCTAATATCAGACCGATATCTGATGGTATCATCATATCAGGAGACTCACAGAATCAACCCTCAATATTAATTCTTTAACAACTAGTTCTAAGTATTTAAAAGCTAAATGAGCTTCTTTTTTTTTTTTTGCATATTCTATTTACTGTGGACATTTTGGGAGCTTTTTTAAGAGCTTCATAATCTACATCTAAGGCCTTAATCATTTCAACAAACAACACAGACCTTAAGTACTTATTTCCTTGAACAAAATACTACATAGCATTTTTTAAGAGCGGATGTCTTTCAAGAGAGCATGAATTCCTTAGCTAACTTCAGAACAAATTCAAAAAATAAATGAGCATTCCTGAGAGAATATGTATTAAAAAGAAACAGTTATTAGATTAATATTTAAGACTTATCAAAACTGCACTTATTTCTTTTTTAAGGGCTTAAAAAAGAATTTTATGAGACCTAAGACTTCAGAGCCTTGCAGAGCCACAGAAATGATTGAGAAGGTCTGAAAGTCAAAAGCCTCGTCTGAAAGTTAATGCAGGCCATATGAATTGTACAAACATCTTGGTTCCTGTGTAATGAATGAATGATTCAAAATGAACGAATAAACGAACCAACATCCTTTTTGGCCACAGATGAACAAAGACGACACCAAGAGTCTTGTTAAAAGAAGTCTTTGTAATCAGTTCTGACCATTGTCAGGTTCTCTCTTCACACGCCAACCTTTATTGTTCCTCTCAGGTAAAACAGGTTTGAAGGCACCTCTTTCTGAAGTTATTGTTAACCAGTTTATAAATGAAGTTTTTCATCCTATCCTTAGGTTAACCTGTGATTCAGTTACAGGCATATAGGTATGAATTTGATCTGAAATGTAGTTGGGTGGTTTGCTTATTTCCTTTCCCTTTCCTTATTAAAGAGCTACTAGGCTCTGTACTGAGGATTTTATTGGAGGAAAACTGGAGGAAACAGTTCAGTGTGTTGGCTCCATTTGATTTTCAGTCATTTTCAACCATTTATATGACCTAACCATGACATCAACATTTAATCTTACCATTACCAGTGCTTGCCTAACCCTAACCTTAAGATTGGTCCTAAGCTTGTTAGCAAAAAGTGAGCAACCGCAAAAACGGTCTGCATTTTGATGGGGAAATCTGAAAACTTGTCCTCACTCTAATCCCAAAAGAGGAACACACAAACACGTACACACACCTCCTCATCCGGGTTACTGTTTTCCTGGATGAATCGGATCCATGCAAGCATGTCTTCCCTCCCCTCTGCCTGGAACAGATACTCGCAGTCTGAGGTGGTTAGTCTGAACACATTCTTGCGTCTTGTTTCGCTGTAGGAGATGTCAATCAGACAGGCCTTGATGCTAATTCGGAGTGGGTCCTCGTAAGGCTGCGATGCAGCCTGAGAAAGAGCTTCCTTCTTGTCCTTGTAGAGGGTCAGGGTATGGCCTTGTAAAACAGCATACATTTGTTTCCAGGATCTCATTCCCCCACCGACTCGCTGCAAAATGTAAAACAATGCCTAAACATCCCATCTGTGATGAACGCGGCTTGGTAAGGAGAGTTTGGGGATCAAAGATTACCTTGTTCTTTTCTGTGCCAAGTTGCCTGAAGTTAAGAAAACCTTCTTTGGAGGAATCGGCAAATACATCTAAAGAGGAGTCCCTACGAGATCCAGAATCGGGTCTATGTCCATCCAGAGTCTGCACAAGTCAAAATAAGACATTTTTTCTAGCATTATTACATAATAGAGCATGTTGTGAGAGTCAGAAAGGAGGATGACACAGAACACAGCAGACTGAGGATATCCCAGCATAATAGTTATGATCATCTAAAGAGTAAAAAAACATATTTTTGGACATGTAGGTGTTAACATTCAACTTGGTACAACAGGTTTCATTTCTGTGTGACTGGTTTTAAAGATAACAGAGCGATAGTGTCGATTTTCATCCCATCCTTTTACTTCCATAGGTCTCTGAGGGCAAAAGCTTAAGTGTAAACAAAAAAACAATAAAAAAGGTAAATAAAAAACAGTTTTGAATCATATTTACAAAATCTGTGACTAAATGTTCACATTTTTAGAAACATTGTGCTTGTACTAAAAGTAAAGTCTGAGGACAATGGTACCAATAAATTCAGAGAAAACAAAACTTTTTTTTCCATTTTCTTTGGCCGAATCAGCTATCAGAACAAACTTATAGCAGCAAAGATTCTCTGTTTTATCTATTTGACCAGCGTAATTCTGTATGCCACTGAAAATGCTGAAAGACCTTTATAGATTCTTTATAAGCTATAGGCTTAAGCTAAATTACACAAATAAGTAATACCGTAAATGTAATAAAAAAAAAGAAATAAAAATTGGACAATAAGGGCTGAACTCTACTTTATGTACATCAGATTTACTATAATCACAAAATTGCAAGATGCTTTGACAGGATATTTCTTAGTTATTAGTTTATTTCTGATCCTTTTTAACTTCTCATAAATGCTAGCATTACAGTGGAACACCACTATAATAGCAGCATATTAAGGCAGATTAGCAGGAAACCCAGTGTATTTATCTTCATTAGTTTTGATCATCATGGCAGTAATGAAAATAACACAAATAGTCATTTTCTCATTACCACTGTAATCCCTTTGCACTACAAAAAGAAAGTTAAAGATTCCAGCCGATCAAAAAATTATGGACATCTATCTTATCTTTCAGTTTTAAATACATTATTGTAAGTAAAAAAGGCAATTTATTTCACATTTGTGAACTTAAAAGTTAAAACAGTAAAGAAATCAGAACTTTCGCAGCTTTGATTTGTTCTGATTCCATTAACTGTTAACTACTGAAATCGAAAATTAAAGATTGCAAAAATAGAACAGAGAACATAACATTTCTCAGCTTTGCCAGGAGCAGCAAATCTTTGTATTTCCTCACCTTTCTCAGGCCTCTGAAACTTGACATATGCTTGCTTGAAGAACTTTTGCATAGTGAGGAAAAAAAGGTAAGGTCAGACAGACTAACACTAATTATTACAGACAAAAAAATCCATAATCCGGTGCGTGCACTTACCCTCTTCTCTCCTCCTGGTAAGTATCCAGACCCTCGTCGTAAGACTTGGACCGCTCTGTTTTACTAGCAGTGTCCGAGTCCAACAAAGCACTCCGCAGAGACTCTAAAAATATATGGTACAAATATTATTAGTAGTATTTACGATGCTGTTTAAAATTTTCCAACCCAAATGATATTCCAAGTTCAATTAAATCCAATGTTCATTTTCTTTATAAAGACAAAACAATAACGTATTATAATGGAAAAAAAAGAATGGCATTTTTTTTCAATGAGGTGACATTAGCCAACCCAAAGCCTTTTACCTTGGTCATGTGACAATTGTCGACGAATAGTAGGACATGGTGAGCCTTGACTGGAGGGTGCTGTGGCTATGGATGGTGCAACAGATATCACAGCAGAGGGGGGAATGGGAGCAGCCTCTCGGTCAACACTGGGGCTGACTGGCTCATCTAAAATATTCAGACAGGAAAATTTACTCATACCTCCCTGTTGTCCGTAATAATTGATTTCTACACTTTGACTGACCACAGGGGAGAAAAGTGTGGGGGGAAAAAAGTTTTCACAACTATTAGATGTTGCTGGAACTGTAAGCCAGTAAAGCACAAAGCTGTTCTCTGCAGCCAAGGGGCTTTTGGAGCTAAATTTAAAAGCTACTGCCCTAGTTCCAGCCTGAACCCAACTCTGAAACTGGGCAAAGGAAAAAAAGATGTGCCTGTGTCTCTTTAACAAGGCTTTTATCATGCCTATTTTTAAAGGTTACATCTATCACTGAGAAACTCCAGGGGGGTAACAGACTGCAAGTCTTGCATTTTTCCTGAGCAAGAAATGTGAGCAGGAGTAAAAGATGATTCACTACAAAGTAGCCTTTGCAAAAACATCTGATAAATTCGACTGTGTAATGTGGTGAACTATCAGCCAGGAAACTGTAAGCCGGATTCAGATAAAGAGATTTAGCAGAGTGACTGGATGTCTATGAAACCATCACAGAAAACAGGAACCCAACAGATGAGGAGAGGCATAGAGGCTAAAGGGCTGACATCTAAATCTGAGCCGCACGGCATCAAGTCAACACCACCGTCAAGGCGTTAATAAAAACCATTACATTTTCAAAAATGTTTTAGTTAGAAAGAATTAGAGATGCAGCAATCCGATACCTGGATCGGATATTGGGTCCAATATCGAGTAATTAGCTGGATCGGATATTGGTCATTTGATTGATTGATCTGTTATTCCTTATTTTTGCTGCTTGTTTGTTAGTAAATAATATAAAGCACATTTGTTATCAGTTCTAATTTTGTTAAGTTTTTAAACAATGTTTATGTCAAGGCTAAAGCCTTCACTCAAGCAGAAAGTTATATTGTTAATTTATTCAATGGCGCAAGAAAAATCTACTACTTTGGGTACATATGGGTACCGCTATACTCATCAAACATCCACTAAGAATTATTATTTCATAGTTTAAATAAAGATGAATTCTGCTATCTTGTTTATCATTGTTTTTAATTTTTGTTAATATATTTCTTAAGGAGAGTGACTAAATCAGTATTTAATGTGTTAAATATTATTCAGTACTTCACTGTCACATTCATGTAAGCACCCATGTTTATATCATTCCTCAAATGAGGAAGGCTTATGGTAAAACAAAACTATCAGTACAACTCGGTCAATATTTGAATGTGCACAGTGAACCCCTAAACCCTGGAAGAGTCAGACCGCAATTTCTTAAATGCCAGCAATTTAATCACCACAGCATCCATTACGGTGCAACTGGACCATAATGCATTCACGGTGAAGAGAAAACATCTAGGAAAACATTACATAAGCAGAGGGAAACCACAGCATTGCAAACATCACTTTACCACTTTGTTGTGGTTCATCTTAAACCAGCTTAAACAAAACATGACAGACTCTCCACCTAATCATCAGTAACATCTCACTACAGAGGTTAGCTTACCTCTGAACATATCTCACAGATTGGCTTAACACACATCTATCCAAAATGTTTATATTAAAGCCTAAGGTATCTTTGCTTTACATGTAGCAACAGTCCCTGTTGCCAAGACAACCTGGCCAGCATGGCCATCTACTGATTACTCACCAATGAATGGAATGGAGTCCAGGGACTCATCCAAGTTGCTTGAGCAAGAGGTGTGGCGCTGTTCCTCAAGGCGGCGCATGTGCATCTCTCGACGAGCATCATTAGGGAGCCAGCAAACCGAGACGTCTGGTGTGGAGTCCGCTCCTTCTTCATTTACGGCCAAGATGTAGGAGGGGTGCCGCAGAGGGCTGGGGTTCTTTCCACCGTGAGGTTTCTCCCTCAGAACCACCCCACTCTCTGTAGGGGTTTGACCATTGACCTGACTTGGGGATTCTTGTTGGGCTGTTTTAAGGATGCCAGGCCTCTGAGGCTTCTCTCTCCTAGCAGAGAATGGTGAAGACCCGACTCCTCCTACTGCTGCATCTCTGCCTGCCTCAGAGGGTGGCATGGTTTCAGACCGCATCCTGTTCTGAGATTGTTGGATAATTTGGCCTATATAGTGTCCTTTCACTGAAACTTTTTGGTCAGTAATTGAATGTTCAGCACTCTTCCCATAAAGCGTGGCGGACAGAATGGGTGAGGAGCGAGTCTGAAGAGAATCTGGTCCTTTAGAGTATAAAGAAGGGTTTGGTGGTCCTCTTATGCCACCTGGGTGTCCAGTTGATGGTCTGTAGGGCATAGCATTACTTGGCATGGGCTGCCTGCTCGGCCTTGTACCTTGGTCTGCCCTTGGATAACCTGCTCTCCTATCAGTGGGTCGAGCCAGCTCTACAGGTTCAACATAGTCTATGGAATGAGCCCGAGCTTTCAACATGAGGGCATCTTGGGATACGCTTCGAGGGGGCCAGTTCCTTGCATTACTCATTCTCTCCGAATTTTTTGTTCGGTCTTGTGAAGCACTACGAGGGGCAACCTGGAAGTGGGGTGGAGGTCCGTGGTATGACCGTTCGTGGGAGGTGCTCCTGCGCCGTATCCCTTTAGGAGCCCAGTCTCCCCTGGGAATGTGAGGAGCAGCGGAAAACGAGGCCTGACCTGCAGTTCGCAAATTGTCCAATCTCTCCTGAATTGTCCTACTTCCATGGGAATGGATGCCTTTGTTGTCAATGTACTCTCTATATGTCTGGTAAGTGCGCCAATCAATGTTCTGATGGTTGCCTGGGTAATTAGGTGCTTGACCTGCAAAGGGACCCATTCCTGGACCACTGGGATAGACATCAGCCTTTCGAGGGAAAGGATACTGAGCCAGCGACCCAGGTCTTCCCCTGACGTAGGCAGGGTCCATGAAATCAACCCTATGAGCCGAAACCACGCGTCCCATGTGTGCAGAGTTAGGAGGAACCACCACAGTCCTAACGCTATCGTTGCGCATGCACACAGCTGTTTGGCTTTTAGAATATGATTGACGAGGAGGAGATGGGGGCACGGTGATTTCTTTACGATACCCATAATCAAGAGATGCAGTGCCCCGGCAGACCTGGCCCGACGAGTCTGTCGCTTGGGCCATGCCCGTGGGCTTACAGTCTACTCTGGGGTAGCATACTGGGGGCGGATTAGGGATGTGACTAGCATTTCCTCTGTAGCTAGTGTAGCCACGCAGGTAGGCATCCTGAGAATAGGCCTGAAAACAGAGCAAGAAAGCCATGTTACAAGAGAGGAGTACAAACAGCAAGTGGGTGCGAGATTAAACAGTGGGACGCTAGATGCTTAAAGACAAGTCAAGTGTGATATTGAAAATGTTACTGGATGCATGTGTAGGCAGCGCCTGTTTCAGTGAGTGAGTGGAGGCGTTTCAAACAGCTGAGCAGTGTCAAAGCTCTTCATCTGCTCCTTATTTAGAATTTACTTGGTTATACTAGTGGACAACATGCTTTATAAACTAAAGAAAAACATTACGTTTACTATTTTTAGAATAAAAAAACATTTTTAGAATAAAAAAGATGAGAATCTCTCTGACCGTTAACAAACACAAAGTAAAGAAATACAATAAAAACAAGTACTCTGAACCTCATCATATTAAAAAAAAAAAATACAACAAAATAAAACATAAAATGAATAGGAAGACAAATTATTGTAACGTACCTCAGACTGCAAGACCGTAACCTCTTATTGACAGCAAGTGCCTAATGTCTCATACAGAATGTGCTATAAATAGCCTGTCTTATTTTCATCCATTAGTAATGAGCCTATTGCATTTCCTTGGCAATACTATATAATACAAAAAGTTATACTTCAAACTTTAAAGGCCTAGAATATAAATTTTTTGCTTCTCATAACACACACACCTATACAACAAGCCCTAGATGAGTAAAGGTGCAAGGACTTTGTCCCTTTAACAGTGTGGTGTTACAGCTCAGCCTTATAATAAAACTGTGAGCCACAGCAATCAGTTCCTCCCCTTTAAAAGCATGACTGTAAACATGAGTTCAGAGGTCAGCAGCCTTTATGAGATTGATGACATCTGACATAAAAGATGAGGAGGAGGGCGAGGCTTCCCAAGCTCTAACTCTAACAGGTACTGCAGGCATCGGCCATGTCTGCAGTCTAAATATTTGAGTCATAAGCACACATCTGATCATTAACCACATGTCCCAGACAGCTGTGTGGCAGCCACCCTCGACAGAAATCCTGTGCTGTTGATGACATGCACGACACATGCAAAATGACAAAACAGGTACACCATGTGACAGGTACCCAGTGTACCGTTTGTTTGTTGTTGTTTTTTAAACCAGATTAGTTGTTTCTCTAGAAAAAGACTGCCGTCTTAGCAAATGAAAGCATGAGCATTGATAAATGATGGGAAAGAGGCTGAATGAGAAAAAAGCTGACAGCAGAGTAGAAGGCATGTATTGTAACACAAAATAACCAATTCCAAGAGCATGAAAGATGAATCAGCCATAGCAAAGCCTGGAATTGACATGCTAAAAATACACTGGAGTTGCAGCAGCAGTACACAAGGATGAAACAGCAAAGAGGTAACAAGGGTTGCCACGTTACAACCTGCCTGTGACACACTGTCCTGGATGAGGTGACAGGAACAGAGGCTTGGTTTCCATTCTGCTGTTAGGTCTCCATGGCTCCATCCATCTTCAAACAGAATATTACGCTAACTGAACAAGGTGTCTCCAGTCTCTGTCCCCTCTCTCTCTCCCTCTCTCTTTTTCCCTCCCTGCTACCGCTCACATGACAGAGGCAGCAGCTGCTGATTATACATTCAGCTGTGATGGTACAGCTCACCCCTCCCACATCTTCCTCCTCCCTCCTTTTCACTAAGCGTCAACCTGTTTGAAACACGGAGCAGCTGATTTCACCCTGTGGTTTAGGCTCATCATTTACGCTTTTCCCTCCCGTTTTCCTGCTCACCATTTCCTCTGCTTTAGTGCTGTAAGGTTCCCTCCCTTTCCTGCTTCATAAATGTTCTAGTCTCTCTCCCTTTGCTAAGCAACTGCTGCCTGTCTCCAAGCTCTCAGTGCTTGTTGCCGCCTACAGTGTCATTTCTCTCTGCTAGCATCTGTGATAATCCCCTGATTTTTGCAGAAAGATCATAGTTTGCTTGTGTACACTATGGATATTTCTGTGTTTCCGTTTTCTTGTCGGTTAAGTAACAATGTGGTGAGAGGAAACACAACACACGCATAGGAGAGGGAACTGCATAAATGACTACAGACAGAAAACAAATGGAGCCAGGGGAAGACTTTCATTGAAGACTTTTAGGGAAGCAGGTGGAATAGCTGTGACCGGAGTATCAGAGCTTGCTTAATATAAAAAAAAAGAAAAAATTATCTAACACCTGCAGTCCTGGGAAGAAGTCCTTCTACCTTCTTTCCTTTTGCTTTTTTTGACACGCAAGTTTAAGATCATCAAATAAATCTACAGACAATATGGGGGGAGGGGAATCCAAGTGCCTCCCCTTATTTATTCATTAATTTACTAATTTAATACATTTTGAGGGAAAATAACTTAAAGTTCAAAAGACACACCTCCCGGACTGATAACTTTAAAAAAAAAAAAACATGAAGTAGGGTAAAAGATCTTAAAAAGAAAGTTGTCCTGTCCTAAGCTTTAAAGATGTATATGAAAACAGATGTTAGATGTCTTGAGGTATCTCAGTCTGGTAAGGGTTACAAAGAAATTTCCTCAGGCTCTGGGGTTCCAGCTTACCAAAATGAATGCCTCTATTTACAAATGGAGAAAGAATGCTCTGTCTCATCCAGGAGGTCATAAAGAATTCAACACATCTAAACCACAGAAGTCATCACTTAAAACAGTTGAGATCAGTATGATATATATAGACTTCCCGTTCAAGACGGACTTCTGTCATCTGCAGAAATACTTGATGATTATGCAGTTGTTGGGGGCATCAGAGATGGACAAGCAGCTGAGTACAGGGAGAAAGTGGAGCTACCATGGGGTCGAAACAATCATCCCACTTTGAACACAGGAGATTATTTTAGATTTTAGGAGACATAGAAAAAGGTCCAACATTACTACGGCCATGGGGGAAGAAATGGAGGTGGTAGAGGCGCATAAAACCCTCAGTGTTCACAAGGACAACAGATAAGGGAGACAACTGTTCGGCCATCTAAAAGAAAGGAAAGTGGGCAGACTATACTCCTAAAGAAGCTTAAGTCCTTCAGTGTTTGCAGCTAAATGCTGGGGATCTTGTAGAAGTAAAGTAATGGCAATGTGTTGCAATACAATACATGTCACATTACAATATTATCACAATATTGCAATATTACCCTATATTATTTTGGTATTGATGTTGTTTGGGGTTTGAATCAGTCCACGTCCTCTACTGTGACTGCCTCAACTACAGATATGGTGCTGCGCCGCACAGCAAAAGGGCTCCACAGCGCTATCTGCCAGAGTGGCAGTGCAGAGGTAGCCCATTTTCACTCATTGTTTTGAGGTAAAAAAAAAAATTTTATTTTTATTTTTTTATTATCCATATTAGGAACTGAAAGATCGATATTGTATTGGGCAGTCGAAAATCACAATAATTCCCCAAATCGATTTTCTCCAACATCCCTATCCATAAGTGTGTCGCAGGGAGTGTGATCTGCTATTGTCTGCAGGGATAACAGATTCAGAGGAAATGACAAGCTGATACATTAGACTTTGTTCTAGGAAACTCCTCCAGAACCTCTGGGGATGATTTCACAAAGAAGAATTGTTTGTAAAATTAAGAATATGACGGACAATAGTGGACATCCTCTTCATTAGACTGTCTTACTACAGCAGGGTCTTCAGTCAGAGGCTTCCTCAAATCTGCTGCAGGGTAGACTGCTACAGGAGATCCTTCCTACCTACAGCTATTAACATCTACAGTAACTCATTGAAGACTTACTGAATATGTTGGAGTTAAAACTACATTTAATCCCCCTTTGGGATCAATAAAGTAGTTTTGATGTTTTTATTTCTGTTTCAGAATCATTAGAGACTGAGCAAATAGCATTAATGAGAGAGTTAGGACGTGAGAATCAAGGCTGATATTTGAGTGTTCATCTATTAACAACTAAATAAAATATTAACACTATATCAGAATCAGAATTATATAATGACTACTTAAAGAAAGTAATTCAAATTAAGGGATTAAACCATTTCATTTTAATAGATGTAGAGATTATCTAATTACATCAATATTTATTTCCTATCATTTACTATCTTAGAATAATGATTAGCAGAGTCTTACTTGTGCTGCATATCCTAATAAAAATCAACCATTATACCTGCTAAATATATATAATAAAAGTGAGTATAGTGATCAATAATTGTAAGGATTTAATGGGGCCTTTTAGGATCCCCCATGAGAAATGCCCATCAGGCAAATATATTAGTGGTTTTAATGTAATGTTTAAATTTGTAAACACATTGGCAGACTATAAACCTCTAAGGAAGGGACTTCCTGTTATAGTTCACACAATAGATTCGCTCAAGATATGGAACAGAAGAGAACACCTTGATTTAGCAGAATCAATAGCAGCTCCCTACAGCTCCTTGCTGCATGCATTAAAGATTAATGAGGAAAATTCCCACCTGTTAAGGTGAATGTTTTTCCTGTGATGCTTAAGAGACAGCAGGTAAAAGTGTAAATAGCATTTTATTCTGTTAAATGCAACTTTAACACACTTGTAAAAAACAAACAACATTTGCTTTTTCTGTTTCTCTAAATGTATATTATCTAAGCACAGAGGGCCACCATGCAAAAAATATCCATCTTTATTTAGTCTATGTTATTCTTTTTGAGAAAAATATATATTATTGTTTTATATAAGAATTAATTAAATCCAAGAATGACTACAAAAGAAACAAATTTGAGTTTTTTTATCACTACGGAATCCAATAATCTAAGATTAACTCAGTGATATGCTCGTAAACCTGCTGGCTCTGCTTGTGGATTATTTTTTTTGCTCTCTCACAGACTGGAGTTGGATCGTCACCTAGCGACCTTTCCAGCCAATAGAACGACTGCCTCAGAAAGGGTGTGCTTGTTTTCTTCTACTGAGTTTGCTGGTTACTGCTTATCGATCATAAAATTTCTTTTCAAAGGTTTTCTTCAAACCCAATTATTTTGAATGGTCTTTGATATGCCAAAACAAAAATATAAACTGTTAAAAAAGTGAACAGATTCATGAACCATTTTAGCTTCTATAAAAGTAGGCTACTTTCTTGGGAATCTTGGAGTCAATCAATCTGCACGCCTGAGGTGAACACAAAAGCCCCACTTAAGAGTATGCTAGTCAGGGCAAATGCTAATTCTACCTACAACAGAAAATTAGCTGACTTTTCATTGGTGGTTTTGTTATCATCCCTTTAATTAATTAGGTTTTTATTATTTTTTCCTAATCGTGTTTTCAGCTTCTTATCTTATTAGAATTTACACTGAAAAGCAATTTTATCAGTATGCAGTAACAGGCAAACTGAGCAGAAGAAAAAAAGGACACCCTTTTCTGAGGTTGTCGTTCTATTGGCTGGAAAGGTTGCTAGGCAACAATCTGACTCCGGTAGGAGAGAGAGAGCAAAAACAATCCACATGCAGAGTCAACGGGCTTGCGACTGTATTTCTGACTCGAGCAGAGACTGGTTTGCGCGTGCGGAGGAGGAAATATTCGAGAGGAGAAAATATCTGTGCTAGAAGCATTTGATCAGAGAGCAGAAACAAAGATTTGATGGAGAAGATAATATATTTGGCGGAAAACAGAAGTTTTGAATGCGAGCATTATAAGTTTTGAGTTCAAGTAGAGAAAATCCTGCTGTCAACTTGAAAATGTTTGCTCTTGGTTTTTGGCAGGGAAAATCCTCCACAGTATTGTACTGATACCAATGATGCACAGTCAACAGTTAAAAATTAAAATTAGTAGTTAAAAATTAAAGTGGTAGTTTTGCGATTGTAGTTTATTTCATTGGGACACTTTCTTGAAAACCAAAGAGGAACCCAGCAAAAAAAAAGTATGCTACTAGCATACAGTAACTATTTGATCATACTAGACCAGTATGCTGGTAGCATTCAATTCTTTGATAAAACCAAAATATTTTAACATGTTGCAGCCTATTAACTAAGGTGAAGAATGGGGGAGGATTGCTTGTGTCATGTCTTATTGCTTTCTGCAGAGATCTAATGAATAAATAAGATTTAAAAAAAAAAACAACATCCACAACATAAAATCAAAGACTTCTAAAGCTTGGACATTTTATTTTACATTAATGTCATCAAAGTGTAATTTTGTGGAGCTTCTTTCTGCAGTGAATTTAGGGCATTTGCATTTCCACAGTGATGTTGGCTGCAGTTCTAGAGGACAGAAAGTATCCCATGGCCTGATTAGGAGGCCCAGATAGAGCACACTGATGGGACAGCCTGGATGTCTACATCTCATGACTACCGTCCCAACTTAAACTCTTTAAAACTAGAGCAGCTCTTAGAGAACAAAAGTTATTAAATAAAAAAATGTCCTTTAGAGGAGTTTCTATAAAAAAAAATAAAAGGTCAATCTTACCAGCTGCAGTATATCTTCATCTTTTGGCATCACACACAGCTCTAGAAAGTCGCCACTTCGGGTAGGAAAAAAAAAAAAAAAAAAAAAAAAAAAAGGTTTAGAGCACAGTCGAATGAAGCATAAATATATCCAACTCTCATAATCTTACCTGTCTTGAATCAATGTTATCACCTCAGAATAAGCTTTTCCGATTATGCTGGCCCCATTCACCTTCACTATTCGATCACCTAATCAAACACAGAAGTATCATCAACCAGGCCGCAGTTTGTAAAAGGCCTGCCACACAGATCAAACATCTGACAAATCCAGCAAAAAATAAAAAATTAAATGATAAAAGGGGAGCAGGAAAAAAAAAAGTAAAAGATCTGCTCTACTAACAGACTTTCTGCCTTTGAAAGTTTTTCCAGGACTTTTGGGGGAAAAAAAGAAATGAAAATAGTAAATGCTGGATGCCTATTACCTGTACAAAGCCCAGCTTCATGAGCGGGACCTCCTTCCTTGACTTGTTTCACAAAAATAGTGTCCATGGGTTCCAACCTGTTTCTCTGCCTCCCTGGAAAAAAACACAGAAAATAAATTATTCAAGCTGCCTCAAATGTTTAGTAGTGTTTTTAAAGGCTCCTATTTTGTATAATCTAAAATTAAAATACAAGCTTCACACTAAAAACAAACTGTGAAAAGAGTTCCTGTGTGAGAACAGAAAAAAAAAATCTGTGGCAGTTTGGTTGGAAAATGATGACAAATCAGACAGAGTCATTCATAGAGTCAATCTGTATGGGTTTAAAAGGACATGGATCAGAATGACCAAACACAGGAAAACCTGTTTGCTCATGCAGCCCGTGTCTCCTAGCAGCTGCGTGGCTGCGGAAATAAAAGAAGAGAAGAAAGAGAGGAGGAGTGGGGCAAAAGAAACTAAGGAGGAAGAGTGACAGAGTACTCAGCTGTACACCTCCTACTCTTTTCGTGTAAACTGAGAAATAGCTGTGGGCACAGCCAGAGAGTGGCTAAAATACTTCCCCAGTAGTTAACATTCTGGTGGTGAGTCAGGACACACTACCTTGCTAAGTCCAGCAGACGGGAAGTCCAGCATGAGATCACATGTGACAGTTTGTGACTTAACGTGCTATTGTACTGAAGGTATTCATTCAAATAACGTCAGATTAGAGCAAACTTAGAAACCTGTTATCATGTTATAAAAACCACTGTACTAGACTGCTATAAACTGACCAAATAATTTCACCTTTAAGCTTAAAGGCCCAAGCTTTTTTTTAAGTTAAGAATCGATCAGACTGATAACTTGTGACCTAGTTTTGTTACTTTATGAACACAACAGATAAAAAAAAAAAATCAAACAAAATCATAGCAATGAATTTTGCATTGCATAATATAACAGAAAAGTCCCTCAGAAGGACAGCTGGGAGAGACATACTCCCTCTGGTGGTGTCCTATGGAGCTGTATTTCTTCAAGGCATCTATTCATAAACCCAACTATGAGAGGACTCTTTCCTCTTTGCACACAGAAATCACATGAAACAGAAGGAATTTGTAAAAAAGAAAAAAATGATTCATACATTATCAGTATGAGTCAGCACAGACAAAATAATACCTATATATTTTTTTACAGTTCAGGTGTGCAGATCAGACTTCCACACTCTTTTTGTTGGTTTAGGGAAAAGGTAAAAAAGTAAAAGGAAAAGGTAAAAATCCAACCAATATGAGAAATTATAGTTTTTCTTGATATCAGCTTTTTGTACTGAAAATAAAAATGGGAGTAAATTCTGAAGTTATCCAAAATGCCTTCACTGAGTTTAACGCAGATAGAGATTAGACTGACCTCTAGAGACTTATCAGATGGTCAAAAAAAGAAGCATGAAAAGAACTAATCCTGCAGGAGTTGACACTGACTCGACCAAATTACCTCAATCTGCACAACAAAATAAAAGCAGATGTAAGACCAAATATTTCCTTGGTAAAAAAAAAAAAAAAAAAAGTATAAAGCTCACAAGTAAACCTAAAGTCTAACCAAGGGCATCTAGACCTGACCATTGTGATAAGGAAAAAGCTTTTCCTAGAAAACCACCATCTATTAACTAAATTCTTTGTTTAGAAAAAAAAAGCATTATGTACATATGCATTTATTATTTTTTTCATATTTCATTCCAAACACCTAAGCGGTAATGTTTTCAAAACCGTTTTGTTTTTTAGAAAATTAAGCTTCTTTCCTCTTAGAGGTGATACAAAAACTTTAATTACTTATGCTTGAAAGAAGTTATGCTTGAATAAATTATCTTCAAAAGTGTATGAAAAAATGTGTGTTTTGACCTATATGCTGAAGATTTCATTCATAAATAAAGTTTATCTGTAAAAAAAAATTCCCAAGGTAAAGAAGAAACCAGAATGTTAACACCTTAATAAACAAATATTAACCAACCTAAAAAGGGGTTTGCCGGATTTCCACATCTTGTTAATAATCCTGTTTCCTGTTTAAAAGATCCCCTATGAAAGACTTTTAAACCTGTTGCCTAACAGGCTGGTTTATATTCATGATTCATGGACATCTAAACAGAGATGTCGGGTAAAGGGGCATCATATAAAAAAACAAAAACAAAAAAAAAACACCCACAACTGTAACACTTTGATTGGGCAAAGTTTCAAAAAATGACATCAATGGAGTTGTTCAGATTTCCTGTGGAAAAATGAGTCATGGAGCAGATTTTCCAGCCACTAGGTCTCTCCCTCAATCCTTGATTTTAAAGTCAAATCATACTAATTTGCATCTTAGAATGTGAAAAAAAAAACAGAACTCTTTACTATACTTTGCTTTACTGTTTTGTAATCAGTCGTTTACTTTACCTAAAGATATAATAACTGTTTTTCTGAGATATAATCCAATGCTATTTTCTGCATTTCTTCAAACACGGGTGACAAGTGTGCGATTTCTCTCTGTTGCGGCTGCTATGAGACCCTCATGGCGTGAGAATGAGTGAAAACAATAGAACTAAACAAATACTTATAACAGTATTTATTTGAAAGATGGGCTTTCTCTTACATTTTACCAAAAATGGACCCTTCGACAATGAAATAGACACTATTCTTTTTGACCATTTATTTTTAAAACTGAGGTAAATACTGCTGCCTGTAGCTGCCCCATGTATAATTGACTGTTATTGCAGCCTAAACAGATATTATTTAACAACCCTTCCTTTCTAGTAACAGATCTTTTGTATTGTCATAAAGTTGGAGTAATCTGTAGTGAAAGATATGCAAAACATATTTTCTAAGTGGTCCCCTTTAGCCCAGCCTTTTTAGGGAAGGCCTTTTCTATGCTTAGAACAAAACAGTTGATTGATCATTGTCCCATATGATGAAAAACAGTCAAACACATAATAATATCCAATATTATTATATTGGGGGGGGGGGGGGGGGGGGGAATTCAGCGTGTGTGAGCTGTGATTGCCACTCCATCAGACGCTCCTCTGGCTGTGATTGGTTGTTTTGACTCGTCCCGAATTATTCTTTCCAGATTGAAATACAGGCAGTAGGCGGTACCAATTGAAGCAGTTTTTTTCACAGGTTACATATCACATGTACTGCTGTCTGGGCATAGGGACAGTTTTAGCCAATATGACAAAAAAGTGATTTTTAAAAACTTACAGACTTCAGCTTTAAACAATTCCTACAATGATATTTTCTTCATTTTGCATAAAAATGCAAATTTTAATATAAAATGCAATTCTCCTATATCCTGTGTATAATTCCTAGTCGACTTCTCCAACTCTAGACTTGTTCAAGTTATGGACAGCGGCTGTTTTAATTTCCAATCTCTAGTCGAAAGCATTGTGAAACTGTGACCCTTTTTCTATGCAAAAGGTATATTCAGCACAACTGATCCCAATTGGATTAATTTGAATTTTATGACTAATTTGATCATAAAAACATATTTCTGTATGTACCTTTATGCACATTTTCATTCAAGAACTTGTTCTTTATAATATTTAATATTTTCAGCTTTCAGAATTTTATCAATGATTTTTCTATGCGTATCCAATTATCTCTACTCTCCTTTCACATTAATAAACACTAGCGTTTCACCCACCCCCCCAATCTTTAAAACATTGCACTCCAAAGGTTATCTTATTGGCTAAAAAATACTACATATCGACCAATACACACACACACACACATATATATATATATATATATATATATATATATATATATATATATATATATATATATATATATATATATATATATATATATATATATATATATTTTTTTTTTTTTATTTTTTTTTTTTCCCCAGAAGATAATCTAAAAGGCCATACCTCATTGAAACAGGATATGTATGTTTCTATTCTTATATTTTTATCTTTAATGGGAAAAAATGTAACATTGGTTGATTATGATGACACTTTATTTTGTTTTGGAGAACAGAAGACAAAAACAAGGTAATAGGGGAAATTCTAAGTTTTAATTTGATGACATATTAGTTAGTTTTTTCTGTGGGGTATAGTTGCCTTACAATTCAGTCAATGTCTGTTTTCTTTAGGATCACTTGATTCTAAAAGGTACAACCTGTTGGGTTTTGTTTAGAAGCAAGCATACTGTTCGATGCGGCAAAAAATGTGACGTCAAACCCACACGAGTCCAGAGGGTGGAAGCTAAGGGGTGAATCCTTCCATGGTGCCACAGAAGGTCAGTGACATGTAGGGCTTTACAACATTTTCAATAAAGAAGAAGGTAAAAAAAAAAAAAAAAAGCCAAATAGCCTGAATGGTTGTGGAGCCATTCCAGGTCAAAGCAGTATATCAGAACTGAAAGTTCTTGGGTTTTTCTGCTTACCTCTGCGGCCCCGATCTTCTTCCTGGAAATACACAAAGAGACTCAGCATGACTGTTTTGATTATGGTAGCATAAAGTGGATCATCAGGATTTTTGTTGACTCACAGTAATAAATCAAAGAAAAATTTACCGGGAAGCAGTGTAGGCTCGACTCCGGTGGGTACACAATGAAGTGCCGCAAAGTGAAGCCGAACCCCTGGGATGTGCGACACAATCTGACCGTTTTGGGCCTCGGCCAAGCGAATGGCTCCTCTTCTGTAGAGTACTGCATTGCTGGAAAATCGGCCAAGCCTCGTACTTCTGGAGAGTCATTCTGTTCATAAAGAAAGATCCAGAAAAATCCAAGAAAAACTATTAGAAATAGAATCTTTCTGATCCTCATAATATAATAACTTTCTTTGTAAAATAAAATCCATAAAAATGTAAAAGCTTGACAAAAAAATCACCCAAAAAACAGATTTTGAACTTTTGAAGATTAACATAATTTCTATTTTATTTGTTACATTTTAAAGCCAGAAGCCGGATTTGTTTCTAAATTAAAAACCTTGTTATAAATGGTTATCTAATCAAGATTAAAACAAGGCTCTTAAAAAAAACTGTAATAAGGCCATTGACATTTTTATTGCCGTAGTACCACAAAGTATCATGACAAGTTGTTAAGTCAATATCACCCGGCCCTAAGTATGTTTAATTTTTCACATTAAAATAACTTCTCTCACATTGTTTGCTGTCGGATTAAAGAAGCAAGAATAAAATTCCCATAACTGAGAACTAATGAAATGAAAAAAGCAGTTCAGCATTCCAGAGCCTGTACTGTACTGGTGGATCAGTGAAGCAGATACAAGCAATATGAAGCAACAGGTTTTATAAGATCTAAATGGATCAGGAAATATTTTAAGGGAAATTTTAAGTAGGTACATAAACATGTTTATACCAGTTTAAGCCTAAAAGACAGTCATCTTCCATTTTTATTGCCTTTCCTTTAACTTTTCCATTCCTGTCAACGCGTCATGAGAAGGGATTTGACAAGTTAAAAAAAATTTTTGTATTATAGTTTTTTGGCACTTTATCCAGGAAGAAATTTAATTAATATGTTAATATTATGCAAAAGTATTATTGGAAACATTATAGGAAAGAGTGAATCCAGAAGCATCATGTGTGGTCCAAGGTTAGCTCTATAGTTCTGAAAATAATTCTGTTTTAAACTTTTGTTTTAAAAAATAATTTGTGTTTTCAAATCAAGTTTAAAATAATTTTTCTATTTCAATTATTTCTTGTTTAAAATATTTTTTAAACAAACTTTATGAACCCAATTTTGCTCCTTAGTGATTTCATCAACATTTATATTTTTAAAAAAGGCTTCCCTACATTTTTCTTGTTCTCTGTTTCACCTCAGCATGATGGCACTGGATTTTAGGGAGCGAGTCACTGTCCTGATACTTTGAAAATTCAAATAAAGCTGCTGGGGCCCGGGGTCGAGTAGATCCTCCAGAAATGCTTCAGGTTGAGGAGTCCAGGGGCTACAGCTGAATCAAGTCTGTTTTCTGTAGAGCTTAAAGAAAAGTTAGATGGCCAGAGCTGGGGAGCAGAGGCGGCTGGCTGGCTAGCGCTAGCTCTGGAGACAATCACCAGGAGATTGAAGGAGGTAGATGGGAGAAGTCTGCCAGGTAGAGAACGCCTGAGAAGGGAGAGGCAGCGGCAGCTGGATGGTTTCTGCAATGAAGCTAATGCTACATTCAGACCCCATGCAACAGAAGCAGCAAAAAAGCTTCTGCTGCTTCATTTTTGATGCTTGTACGCATGAAGGTCCGAAAGACCAAAAATGCTCCTGAAGCACATCCAGTAAAGTGTGTACAGATGCATCTGATGCTCCTGCTGCTCCTGCGTTCAATGGCAGAGGTTGGCTTTGCTATATTTGCTGTTATAAGTGGGTAAAAAGTTGTTTTAATATGTTTTTAAGTGAGAAATTCCACCTCAAAACTTAATCTGTGCAGTCAGTTCATCAAGATAACGATCCTGCCATCAAATATTATTTCACTGTTGGACCAGCACGAAACCTCCATACACCAGCAGTGCTCGGTCGCTGGAAATCCCCTTCAAAGGCAGCCTCTGGCCCAGTCGCCTCTTGGGGAGTTTCTGTCATGGTTTGTGACGGCTAGAAGGAGATGTTAGTGGTTCTCATGAACGGAATCCAAACTGCAGGCACCAGAATAATAAAAACAAACATATTTTGCCAGCAGGTATTCTAATTTTAAGTTAGGCGTTAATAAACTGTTTCAGGGGAGTGATCATAGCAATCTGCATCAGCAGTGCTATGTCTGTCTCCCTGCCAGCTCCCAAATCAGCTTCTCTAATTGGTTGATGTGGCGCATCATGCAGCAAAAGTAAAATTTTTCCAACTCCAGCAGCTGCTGTTTGTCAAGCATGCTGCACGCATCAGATGCTCAGAAGGTCATGAGGTGCTGCTTCCGCTGGTTTGGTGCGTCAAGATGAGCTGCAGAAAGCACATTTTGATGCACCTAAACCATTGACTTAACATGTAAACCAGCTACTTCTGCTGCTTTAGCACCATGCGGTCTGAACATAGCAAAAGAAAAGAGGACCAACAGTCCTTTGGGGCTAATGTAAAAGCCATCTAAAAACCAATTAGGAGCATTCTCTACTTCATCCTTTCTTAAAATTATTCTCTCCATAATCCAGTTTGATTCTAAAAAGCTTGTCTCTGCTTCACCCATGAAACAGTCACATCAAGTTCCTTATTGGTTTTAACGACATAAGTTCAAATCTTAAAACTTCTGCTAACTTGGTTATGTGCACTTGGCCAGTACAGGGTTCATCTTGTTTCGCTTTATTCGTCAAAAACATGCATTTTGCCTGGCAGCGCATCTACATTTTTTCCATTTTATTGTCATTACACTGTCACAAGTACAGATCAACAAACTGAACTCTCTGCATTTAACCCATCCCCTTTGGGGAGCAGTGAGCTGCCACTGTGCGGTGCCTGGGGAGCAGCAGTGTGGGGTTAAGGGGATTTTGCTCAGGGACCCAGAGTGTCTGTGGGAGTGGAGCTCCCAAAAAACTGCTTTGACTGCACCTAATGGGCTCATTCACACTGCAGTTCTGGTCCAGGGATCAGAAAATTCACACCTTCAGTTCCCCTGGTTTATTTTCTTACAGACATTTTTTAGAACTGGCAAAACATGATGCAATTGCAATTAATTATTGGTGGCAGTTTGGCTCTAGTATTAAGCCGACTAAGAAGAAAACAACACAAAACAAAAACAAAAAAACAAAAAAAAAGAATGTCCTTCTCATAGATTAGTCAGAACCAAAAGTAAATCATCCATCCTTTACTGCCATCATATTGACAATGAAAGCTTTGAGTCACATTGTTCCAGCTACCAACTCTATCCTCGCTCTGTCATCCTCTCTATAAATAAATAAATCTTACCACCCGATTGTTTTTGTGGAGAGACTGAATCAAACAAAATGTAGTCTTTGCCATTCCCTTAACTCAAATCCCCCTTTCTTGCTTTAGGTTCATTGGAACCCTGCATCTAATCAAACTAAAAGCGATCTGTACCAGAGTTAGAATGAACTGCCCTGACAACAGGAATTGTCAGTGTACAACCCTCTAGTTCACTTCAGGGTCTGGGATGGGTTCATAGAGACATGAAAGCCTCAGAAACAAGTCTCTGTTACAGGTTTGGTGCCAAAGCACTGAAACTTGTGCCTCTTGTGGTGTCATAAAAATGTCATCCAAATCGTGCAAAGCAACAAGGTTTTTTTTAAACACTTTGGGTTTTAAGTGGTAAATATGAAATCTACACTTTAAAGACTGAGCTTTGTTTTAATTGTTGACAATGCAATTGTGGGAAGGAAAAATATTACATTACAAGTCATTTTTCTGAAGTTGGACGTATTGTAGGACCAAAATGAGTTTGGAACAATAAAAAGAGGCTACTGCGATGTTTACAGTCAGTTCCCAGCTGGAGCAGAGCATGTCAGCCCTGAGGGCTTAGGACACACACTCCTGTGTCTACAGACTATTTATAGCCTCTCACCTTTGTTGTTTCATATGTGCAGCAACAGCAACAACTTGACTCACATTTCACTATGTCACGTTCACTGCAACAATATATCAGAAATATCTTTTACTGTTTTCAACAAAAACAAACAAGCTGAACCTCCCTCTACCCCCAACAAGTTTCAACCATTCTCCCATCCCCCAGAGGAGCAGACTTTTCCCCACAATGTGAGGAATTTGATGAGCTTGCATTAGCAATATCTCTGCCCATGCTGATACATTGGGTAAAATGTCAAACCCAATTTTTTTTTACATGAATGTTAAGATAACGCTGTGCGTGTAACACAACCAAAGATTTAGCGACAGATTTCTCTGCCAATCAACATATAACATTTGCATGAACATGTTTTAAACAAATAAGTCTAAACATGTCACCCACCTGTTCCAGATAAATCAAAAGCAAAGAAAAGGTCAAACAGATTAAGAAACGGTTTGCGTGAAAACACTTCATAAAAAAATAAAAAAATTCTCACCCTCGGAGAGGCAATGCAAATGTAGTTTGTGCCTAGAGGTTTGTGCCGTGTCAAAGCATGTTTTATTGTCATAGCCCAAATCCGATCTCAAAGCTTTCTGTATTTAAACATCACAGTTTTGAAAGAAACAACCCCCAAAACCAAAAGCACACAGAGTTGTGACTTCAGCTATAAAGCATAAATGACTTCAAATGTGTATACCACAGAATAAGAACTCACTGTACTGCTAAGTCGCTGGGAAAAAGTCCTGCAGGTGCAGCTGCCGCCTATGTGTTTTAATGAAACTAGCCAAACAGGTTTAACTATGTATAACTAAGCTTTGTCTATTCAGCAACTCTGGCACTTTCATATTTAAGCTTATGGCTGTTGGATCCCCAAGTGCCTTTAAAACAGTAGACAAACACTGAAATGTATACCTAAAGTAGTGCTTCTGGTGGGCTATAAATCGGCAGAATGTCAGAAATGCCTGCACAGATGCTCTACATGTTTCCAGGGTAAGTCAGACCTACATACTGCATCTGATTTAGAAGGCAGTGCAGAGGGCAATTTCCCCTCCTCTGATCTTTAGATGTGGACAGACAGGGGGAGTGGGCCTCCTTGCAGACACATGCCTTGCAGTGTTAGCATTGCCACTTGCAGAGTTAATACTGTTGTGACATTCCAGGTCAATAAATTCCAGACCTGCATTTCTCCCATGGTTTCTGTTGTGCTTTAAATGAAATGAAGCACAACAGCTCTAGCCAGAGAACAGAC